ATTTTTATATATATAGATTATTAAATGTTGTTATTCCTTTGTTAACTAAGTGTTTTTGGTTTGTTCATGGCCAGACATCCTATCACTTACCTATGCACTCCCCACTTCAAATAATTTAGCCCTCCTTTTAGAAATAGCAATAGTAATTAAATCGCGAGTTAAACTGCAAAATAATCATTTAACCGGTGTCAGCATCCTGATGTGATCGAGATCACATGATCTTGATCTTCAATTCCACTCGATTTAGCCATCCTTAGACAATGTGAGCAGACTGTAAGTTCTGATAGGGAGCACGTTGCTAATCACTTAAGTAACAGCCCCTGTATTCTCACACTAACTTATTAATATTAACTATATATACATCCTGATTAAACTATGTTAATACTAAACTTATTTTCATTATTATTGATTAGTTTACATCATTTAAAATACTTTTAAAATGTAAAATATTAATTAACCCAATATGAAAACTAGTTACCATTTTGCTTCACTGAAAACACTTTGAATTTGGTTGACTGCATTAAAATATTAGAAGATTAATTCCCACTGCCCAATTTAGTACAGGTGTGGAAGATGGGAAAACTGAACTTTATTTATCAGCAGGATGGAACACCATGCCATTTAGCTGGTTCAACTAAAGATTGGTTTAAAGAACAGTCATTTCCACTATTACACCATCCAGAAAATAGTCCTGATATGATGAGAAAATATATAAAAATCATGTTCAATTTGAATATAATTGAATCAGCCTGAAGAGTATAGTCATTAACTATCGAAAGTACACACAACTGTGAATAAAATGTTGATCCTGAAATGTAAAAAGTGTGATGAGAGGCAAAGCTTTGTGTTATGATGATAGAAGAGTTGTGATCAATTCCAATCAAAAGTCATTGATTTTCTATCTTTCTGACATCATTGATAACTCAATCAAAAACTTCAGACTAGGAGGCGTTAAAGAGAATTAAGAGAAATATTTTAATCTTGCAAGCACTTTCAGCATAAATATGTACGTCGTCTTCAAGCAATTCAAAATTGAAGAGAGAATTCAAACAGAACATTTAAATTTAAGCATTAACAACATTAGTCATTTTGGCCATGCAGGGAGGAAGACAAAATTCTGCTCGAACTAAACAAAGTCCCTGTGGCCACTCTGTAAGACTGTACTTATCAACTTCCAACATGAGACTTCTGATATCAGACAAAGACAAGAAGTTCGTTCTATGCAGGGAGGAAGACTTCTTAAGCAGGGCCACAGACTTTCTAAACCAGTTGCAAGCTGTCATCTTACCAGAAGACCCAACCCCATCTGTGTTAAGGAAAACAAAGAAAATAATCACTCTCCCAGGGATTACTTCTGTTCTTTCAGGATGCCTGGATCCCCAATCCAACGTCACTTGCCCCAGGCTTTTCTTTGAAGCAAAAACTCACAAAGAGAGTTGGCCGTTAAGGCCTTTAGTCAATAAGAGGTCCTGATCCCGCATACTTCCTTGAAAAAGCACTTGCTAGATTGCTAGGTGGGCTACTTCCTTCCTCCTCCCAAGTAGTGTCCTCATCTGTCACGGCTAAAGAAAAGTTATGCGCTATGCTGGCTGGCTTGAATCCAGATACCTACACATTTTATAAAATAGATGTTGTTACGTTGTACCCTTTGGTACTGCATTTTCGAAGCGGTGATGCTAACCAATACCTTGCTTATCAAAGAGGGCTTTACTGCACAGCAAGTTTTAGAAGTTCGTGAAGCATTACTCTTTATTACGGAGCACAATTACTTCCACTTCAATGGAAAGATTTACTTGCAGAAGCAGGGGGTGCTGATGAGCTCACCACTATCAGCTGTATTGGCAGAACTTATCATGCAGCGTGTTGAGCACAGTGTTTTTAAATTCCCTCTTACCATAGCTTACCCCTTAATTTATTTAAGATACGTAGATGATATTCTTTTGGCATGGCAGGATACAGAAGACTCCTTCCGGGTATTAGAACATCACTTATCAAAGATGTATGCTTCTATACACTTCACTTGGGAGAAGGAAGTTGGGAGAAAAATCATTCTCTTGGACTTCACATTCACAAATCCCAGGAAGGCTTGGAGTTTTGCAATATCCCACCCATAATACTAGCCATAGCAATATGTTAATGCAGCCATAGCTCCCTTGATCAGACGGGCATTCTTACTACCATTGACACAACATCTTATCAATACTGAACTGGAAGCTGTCTGCACGGCGGTGTATGCAGCAGGATTTAGTTTCTCCAAATACATCCATGTCACAAGCAGCGTTATACAATCTCTCTTCCCTGCCACCACATTGCGCAGACCAAGGGATTGGACAATGCTCCATTCCTCACTCCCATACTGTGGACGCTTCACGGCCCGGATCTTTAGGCAGAATGGTTTTCGTTTACCTATTTCCCCAACGATCATGTCTGTGACGAATCTTGTGTAATGATAGAGATGCTACTTTCACCCTGGAAAAATCTTGTGTATACTCCATTCCCTTGCAGAATCCAATATCAGGACTATACACCTATTATATAGGAGCGACAACCAGAATGCTGGCTGCTCGCGTATCTGAACACCAACATTCAGTGGCACTTGGCAATTGCAACACTGAACTTTCCAAATTGGTGATACAACAACACCACATAGCCCTTTGGAATTGAGTGGCAATACTCAAATGCTGTGATGAAGGGAACTTGCTATATATTTTGGGAGGCCCTCCTCACAAAACTGCTCTTCCCATGCAACTCCTCTACCCTTGACTTACTGGACATCTGGATTAATTTATACAGGCAGTTAAAAATTCAACAATAATTGTATACTCATTTCCCGCACCTCCTATGTGGTTCAAGGCACATACACGTCGGCCTCTTTATATGTTACATATTTTTTATGTATTTTAAAGTATGTCCCACGCTTTTATATTTAAATTTTAATGTAAACTTGCACTTATAGCTCATTTCTGATCAACTTCTATGCTGTCTTTGTTAAGATGCATGCGTGCCAAAAATTTTATACGTATTTACAAAATGTTTTTAATTTAATGTCTAAAATTTACTTGTTCTTAATAGCCGTTCTAATTGGTTCTTATGTTATGCATGTTAAGGTGCATGCACGCCAATTTTTCGCGTTTACAAAAAAGGCTTCTTAATTTCAATGATCCTAATTAATAGCCATTCCAATCGGGGTTTATTTGTTTTAAAACGCATGCACGCCAATTTTAAATGTTTTTAATTCTAAAATTTAAATCTTATTTTTAATAGTTATATTCCAAAAACGACTAATATCGTTAATGCTTAAATTTAAATGTTCTGTTTGAATTCTCTATTCAATTTTGAATTGCCTGAAGACGACGTACATATTTACGTTGAAAGCACGTGCAAGATTAAAATATTTCTCTTAATTCTCTTTAACGCCTCNGTTAATGCTTAAATTTAAATGTTCTGTTTGAATTCTCTATTCAATTTTGAATTGCCTGAAGACGACGTACATATTTACGTTGAAAGCACGTGCAAGATTAAAATATTTCTCTTAATTCTCTTTAACGCCTCCTAGTCTGAAGTTTTTGATTGAGTTATCTGTTGGCGTGACATCCAAGCCAAGTATTTAATACACCTAACATCATTGATAAGTTACAAGCAACCAATTAATATTTTACTTTTTCATATATCCTTTTTTTCAAAATAATGATCTATGATGATAGCAACAGTGAACAGTTAATTCTGGCTCTGTATGTAGCATTGTTTGCTTTAACCATTTTTTTAAACTCAGATAATTAGCAAAAACCATCAACCCCTTTTTTATAACTGATCCTCACAATTAGATATTAACATTTTCACACTAACTTGTATGTGATTCTTCATTGACTTGCAATTCATGCAATGAATATTGGCTATTTTTGAATATAATTGTGAAACAGTCCAAAAATGCTTTTGGACTGTTTCACAAATATATTCAAATGGTTTTAAAATTGGGAAATCATATTAAAAGTATTAGTGAAGAAACATATTAGTTAAAGTGACCAGATGTCCCATCTAATTTGAGACATCTAATCATTTTAGGGGTGACTGACTTATCATGTGAAATGGCTCCTCAAACCAGCACACCAACAGCATGAAAACAATGTGCCACTTAACAATAAAGGTGGGATTGAAACACTCGCCACTGATTTTCATACTCTAACATAGTGGTCATCTGTTTCCAAACAGTGCCAAAATTTGTTGCTAAAGATGATATGCTGCCAGTCTGTAGCAGTCCATGCTTCCTTTTCACTGCACCATTGTAAAGAAAGTTGTGTAAATGATGTTAGGGTGCTAATGGCAGGAAGCAGTCGCTGTGCATACAAATTTTCCTTTGTTGGTTGCCTGCCAATGGTTTGGGAAGAGAGAGTATTCTGTAGTAAGGTTTCTTTCTGTCTCTGGAATGTGAACAAAGTCTTTGCTTGTCTCATGATCAGATAATTATCTCTCCTCTCCTGGTGGTCTGTCTGGGATGTCCAGAGCCTTGCCATTGTGTATGTGTACTCTGATGTATCCACTGCCCTTAACACCACCTCTGTCAGAGCAGCCCAGATGGTGAGCAATTTGGAAAAATTTCTTCAGCTGGTGATGTGACTTTGTTCTTCATTTTTCTTTTATTTTTTCAAACTTTGTGCTTAACTTGATTATCATACTAGCAAATCAAACTCTGTATCATACTGGCATTCCTGGCATTCATAGATCTCAGTGGGTACAGTGAAACTTGTGAGCCTATGCAAACCTTTTTATAGGATATTGGAGTAGCAATTTTAAGGCACTTTGGTGGATTTCATGCCATACATTTGTACCACAACTGTAAATCATTTTACATACTTGTTTAAGACAAAACTGTCTGACAACTTTTTCAGTAATTAGACAATTCTATCTGGACATGTAACATTTTTGTACATTTATAAATATTTTGATGTCTGCCTTGATATAATTTTGGAATTATCCTTTTAATAAAAATATTTCTATTACAGATATTCAATTCATTGGTCATCCATTGCAGCATACTTTTAATACCCTTATTATGTCTCAGCAACAGCATAATGGTACAAGGCATTCTCATACGCGCCAATCCAAAGCACGTAAACAACGAGAAAAAGCAGCCAGTAATAATGCTAATAGAGGAATTTCTTCAAATAATAATATGCAAGATTCAAAAAGTGGAAGTAAGTATTAAATTAATTGTTAGGAAAAAGTTTGAGAAAAAATAAATTTAATTTGTTTATAGTTCACACTTTATAATCAGTTATTAATTTAATATCAGTATTGTTTAAGCTTGTATCAATTATTAATTAAGCTAAGGTTTTTCTACATCTATGACATATATTTAGTTCTTCCAAAAAAAGAATTACTTTTTGTACATGATAATTTAATTAGTACATCTGGGATAATTGAAACTAACAAGAAAGGAAAAGGCTTAGAACTGTTCAAGAATTACTAGACAGTATTGTTTTTCTTAAATAATATAAATATATTTCTTAATGTAGTAATACTGCTTGTAATACAACGTATTTATATTACATTAATAATTAAATTAATTAAAAAATTTATAATTTTATTTATTTTATCCATATGAAATAAATATTTTTTGATGAAAATAATCATTGTTGACTTCATCATGTTTAAAATTAACATAGGAAAGTATCTGTAAATATAAAATACAGTAAAGCGTCGTTTATCTGAATCAATTGGGGACTGGGGTTGTTCGGATAACTGGTTATGTACGAAAAAATATATTAACCTATCCCGTGTTGAAATTTTTCTCCGTTGCGTGTCGCTTTGCATTCAATTTTCATCTATGTTAAGCCTAATGTAAAGTTTTTAAAATAATAATCATGGTTATTGTATCGTTAAAAATTATTTCTTTATTTTTTACAAACAAAATAAATATATTGAAAAATATAAAAACAAAAAAAATTATACTTTAGAAGTTAATCTAGTAGTTTGATTCAGCATGACACACAAAATTGCCAGTGCTGCCAGCTAAAACACACACACATGAATCAAAAAAATATTGGAGTAGCCCAAGATATAGACAAAGATTGCAGTGCCACAGCACTAGTGAAAATTAAAATTTGCCAACTGGAATTCTTTCGGATAACCAACATTTCGGATAAACGACGCTCTACTGTACATACATAATTATTTATATGTACAAAAATTAATTTCATGCTTATAAAAAAATTGTTATTTTACATATTGCTTTATTAATTATTTTTATGTGGAATAATTTTCCCATAACATTTCTCTTTTACAAAATTTTATTAATTTCATTAATATTAATAACCAAAATTTTTTGTGAAAAACTGAAGTTTTACTATTGTATGAATACATTTTAACCAACTTAACTTATTCGAAACATTCATCACTCCTTTGCGTTTATAATCACTATAGTCAGTAATAACTACACTCTCAATAGTTATCTCATTGAGATGAGAGAGTTTGGTAGTCCAAATGAATCATAAAGAGATGTTGACAGGAGCATAAATAGGGTCAACTGCTAAACAGCATCTGTTCCTCATGTTGAGCAGCTGAGTTATAAACAGCTAGTTGTTAGGCATATAAGCACATCCATTTCTTGCTGATAAAAAATGGTTGTTAAACATTCACAGTAAGATACCTGCTCAGATATTGCTCAGGTGAGTTCATGATTGTGGTTAGGTAGAGGCTCACATTCAAAATATCTGCCACAATTTCCTTCAGTTACCAGTGAAGAATGCTATACTGGCCCAAGTATGACTACTGTATCACAAACACATTCACCACCTCATTCACACACAGCAACCAGTCAGCATTATTCAGTGCAGTCTATTCATTGAAACTACACAAAACTACTGCACCATTACAAAACTCAGACCTATTTTCCTATATATTTTCATACAAACATTCTCATTTTTAACAATTTACAACATTTCTCATCTTTAACAACTAGCTAATGTGCACACAGTCATACCACTAATATATCCATAACATAGCTGACACTAGTGGAAATTGGGGACTTAAAATCCCACTTCTCTGACACCAGTGTGAGTTTGATGATTACAGGGGGAATCTATTTACTCTGTGTCATGAATGGCAAAGGGGCACTCATGTATGTGGGCAGTGTCTAAGTGGCAAAAATGACACGTGTTTTACACATAACCCATTTATTAAGACTGAAAGGATGCTTACAAATTCTACAAAAAGATTCCTTCGGATGACGGTCTAAATAATCTGTAGATAATCCATGTGGTACAATGTCCAGTTGGAGATGGTGGCCTTCTCCACGAAACAAGGAAAAATAGATGATGATGGCAGCCCCGAGGCAGTATTTGTGAGGATGACAGGCAAGTGTTTCACTGGAGTTTAGAGTTGACAGGAGGGAGAAGTTGGTGCAGTCAGAGACTAGCAATGTTAATTTCACTTTTTATGTATACATCGACACAAGGTCCAGATAGGTAGATATGATCCAGAGGATTTGAACTTGGCACATTGACACACTGTGTGTTTTGACTGACTGAGTCTTGACTAACTGAATACAATGTGTCCTTGAATGCCAGGGATTATATCAATCTCTGTTTTTCAATCGGCCATTCCAATTGGTTGATCTCCCTTGTCCATGCTTTTCAGGTGGCTGGTCCCTAATTACTAAGCATAATAAGATCCTGACTTGGAGCGTGGGAGAGGTCAAACCCAAAGCATAATTCAATCTCCCAACTGGAGATGGTCAATCATATGGCGACATTCCTTCTAAAATGTACGACTCTGTGTCACATTTTAACATAAACAAAAGGGTGTCTGACTACAAACATTTTTTTCTTCTCCCCTTTTTTACAAATAAAATTTTCTCTAAATCAACTGATTTTTATGAATTCCATGAAGTCTGGGACCTCACAATAGTATGTATTAAATTCCTTTTAAGAAATTAAGAAAGTAAATTTTAAAAGGGGAAATAAAATTGCCCTCAACAGAACTGGATGTGTTGTCATAATCATTGCTGGAATAGGAATCATTTTTATCTCTAACAACTATATTGTTTGAATGTTTGACTATAAACATGAAAATAAGTAGGAAAGTATTTAGTAAATATATAACTACTATTGAACTATATGCAAATTTAAATTAATTTTTAAATGAAAATGTAAGTACTTAGTCCTCAATTAAATCTTTGAAATGGGAGAGAAATAATGGTGATGCATCCAGTTCCATTACAGTATGATTCTATTTACCTTTTAAAATTTACTTTCTTAATTTTTTTTAATTAAAATTTTTATGTAAAAAATAATAGAAGTACATGGCTGGTGTTATTTACATTTAATAAATAACGGCGAAAAGAATGACAAAAGCAAGGTTTTACCTTTGTAAAAGTTGTATTTATATTTTTATGTATTTATTAAAATTTTATATTCTATAAATTTTTTTTATCCTAAATATCTGTATAAATAAAAAACAAATACAATGCACATTGTAAATAAAAGGAATTCAAAACATACTGATGTGTATATATTAGCCACAGTGTATATATCTGCTAGTAATTAATGTTTCAATATTTTTATTCTGTTCAAGCATTTCAAATGCAAATATTCATAAATTTCACAAAAACACATCATTACACTATTAATTTTATTCAAAATCTATATTATAAATTTTAAGAATTGCATAACTTTAAGGATGCTATAACTACTTGAATTTCACTTATTTGGGGAAATGGTAAGTGACAGTGATTACAAAAAGTAGAAATAATACATATGGAATTCTAATTATTATTTACTGACTTTTAATCTGTATGCAAGATATAAAATTGACTATTCACCAGTGAATTATGGTGTATATTCTGAGCCATTGCTTCATAGTTGTTTTTTTTTTAACTGTAAATGACATGGGATTTAAAAATTAGTTTGTATTAAAAACATTGAAAGACTATTTTTACTATCTCAACAATGTCAGCAGGAGAAACCAAATTTCAAATTGCATGGTTGCATATGAAGGATTCTAGTCATCAGTTAATGTCAAGCTGATATGAATAGGATAAAAGTTCTTCTCCAGATATATTATACCCTTGATGTTCAGGAATTCGATCATTCATGATTGGAAATTTATGCACCAAAATTTCAACTTTCATGAAAGGTTTTGGCTTTTTGGGAAATGGGAAATTACATAGTACTGTAAGCTGGAGTTGGCACCTGCATGAACTGGATGTTCATGCAGGTGCTTTTAGCATTGCACTCACTCATTTGTATGATGTCTGTCATAAGTTATGTTTATTATTTTTTGTTTGGCTTAAATAAAATGATTTTTGCAGCACTATATGCCATTGCACAGTATATTTAGTTAATAAAACCATTTATTTTCTCAAAATTTTTTTAAAACAGCAGTAATACATAAAGTCTTGGAACAAATTACAAATTTAACATTGAAAATGAAACTCAAAGTTTGAGAATTTGATGTTCATAAAGGATTACTTAGTCCCAATTAGTCAAACATGTGGGACCAATGTATGCTAAATGCAAATATCCACTTTCGTTTAAAAATTCAGGTAAACTGTGACTACTTCAACATGCTTCAGGAATGAAACAAAGCATTGGCAGAACCAACTCATCAGATGCTTATTAAAAGACTACAGTAGAGCGTCGATTTTCCGAATCAATTGGGGACTGGGGTTGTCCGGATAACTGATTTACGTACGAAAAAATAGTTTAACGTATCCGATGTCGAAATTTTTCTCCGTTGCGTGTCGCTTCGCGTTGAATTTTCGTCGATGTTAAGCCTAACAAAGACTATTGTATCGTTAAAAATTATTTTTTTATTTTGTACAAACAAAATAAATATATTGAAAAATATAAAAATAATAAAAAATTGTACTTCAGATGTTAATTTAGTATCAAAAACGTAAAATATTTGAGTAGCCCAAGACACAGCCAAAGATTGAAGCGCCACAGCACTGGCGAAAATTTAAATTTGCCGACTGGAATTCTTTCGGATGATTGACGTTTTGGATGATTGACTTTTGGAAAATCGACGCTCTACTGTATTTCTGTTCAACATGCAATTAGCACTGACAGACATAATGAACTACAGCAGAATACAGAGTAATGTTAGCAGCTACATCCTTTGAAGTATATCAACTTCAAGGATGTGCATGAGGATCTGTGTGAAGAAGAAAAAATGATCAAATGTAGTGCATTAAATCATTTACTAGCAATTATTCATATGATTATTGTGATGATATTCCCAAAACTATGTTTAGTGATAACAGATTTTCTTCTATGACAAACATGAACAAATCATATATGTAGTCAGTCATGGATTATGACCATATTTTCACAATGAATTCATCAAAGATCTACTTCAGAAGAATTCTGCACTTTAGAATTCGATGAGATGACAAACAACCAGGTGAAGAAATAGCTAAATTTACATTTTCAATATTGGTCTAAAATAGAGTTGCCCAAAGTTGCAGATAGGCAGGCCACAAATATTTTGCATATTCCATATAAACAAAAAGTTGACCTACTTCTCTCATTTATGTGATGAGTCAAATATGTTCATGGGCCAGATCAATGTGTGTCACTGGCTGGATTTGACCCAATGGCTATAGTTTGGGAATGGTTGAAAAAATTTTAAAATTCAAGCTGAAGCAGATAAGAATAATATTTGTTATCATTCTGTCCTAAAAGAAGATTCAGACCCCATTGCAGAAAATGCAGATGTTTTCAATAGATGGTCCAAATGTTAACATTTCAGTCAAAAATTGATGAAGAAATGAAGAAAATGAGAAGAGATAAACTTAATATTGGCTCACACAACCTTCATACTATTCATACAGCTTTTTCTAAAAGTGTCAGTGAATTTTGCTGTGGATTTTTTTTATAGTTAAAAATGCCAGCAGAATATCATGAGGATGTGATTATAGTTCAAGAATGCTACATCTCAGTAATCAGTTTTTTCTTAGATATGGTGAAATGCCATTAGTTGAGCCTTTAACCAAAAACATTCAATCGTTTAACCAGTGATTAGTCAATGGCAAGCTTTGAACAAATACTTCTTAAATCATGTTGCTAGTAAAATGGGAAAGGATCCAGGCAATCCAAGATATCTGAGAATCAAAGAAGTAATTTCAGATAAATCAAGTGTGATTTACTTACATTTCATCAAAGCAGTATGTGTTTTGTTCAACAGATTTCTTTCTGTTTTTCAAATGAGGGTTCCTTGATTCACTTACTCTACAAAGTCAAATGAGCTTGTAAAAATTTTATGTACAGGTTTTAAAACCAGTCATAAAAGAAAAAGAAAAAACGAAACTTTGCTTAGTATATGTTTAGAACTTTGAAAATCTTTTGCTTCTTAGAAAGACAGTAGTTGTAGTTGATTTATAAATGTTGATCTACTTGCTAGACTTCCCAAAGAGAAAAGTAAACTTATTTGGATGGACATTAGATCTTTTTACAAGTGAGCAACCTTACACTTATTGAGTCACTTACCACTAAAAAAATTCTCTTCATTGAGATGTAGTGTTGCATTTTTCTATGAAAGTGTTTTTCCAACCTTTTTGGATTTGAAACACACTTTGTATTTAATAAGATTTCTACAGCATATCATAATTTTTAAAATAAAATGTTTAAAATTTAAAATAAATTATGGTTGATTTTTAAAAAGTTTTGATAATACAGAAGTTAAAATAACCAAGACAAAAACTCAGAATTTTACAAATATACTATAAAAATAAAAAAAATATTTGAATTAATGCATAAAAAGCTAGTATCAATCTTTAAGTGTGTTTAAGCTGGTAAGCTGCAACATTTATAGAAGCTCCAAAGATTTAGTAAATTGGCATATGGTATAGAGAGAGAATTTTTGTGAGAGAGAGATGCTGATGCTGCAAATTTTCAAAAATTGGCATTTTAGTGAATACCTTCTTTCTCTTTTTGTTGGTTAGTAGTAAAAAGATAAAAGATAAATGAAATTTTTAAAAAAAGAGCTTAACCAAAACTCTAAAATATATTTTATATTTCTGTGAGACACTTCAGGCGCACTCACAACATACAAATGCATCATGGCACATGAAGGGTTGAAAAACACTGTTCTATGAGAAAAATTGAAGATGCGGTTAACTGATTTACCCAGATGTTTACAATGATTTGTAGAATGCCTAATTTTTATGATAATTTTGAAGTGGTCTTTGTATCAGCAAGAAACTGGCATTTAGGAAAATTGGCATGTTAAGAGCAGAATAAGTTAGAATTCTGGAAAAGTGACTATGGTGTATTAACTGTTACTGATCAAATGTACTGTGTATAGATGTGGATTGTGGCTTCTTTATTAACAAATATATGCTAACAATTATTTGTTCACACAAGTGACAATACCATCAATGCACAAAGAACAATAAAAGATTATGTGAAATTGTATAATAGAAAAGTACATACTGTTTCCATTACAAAGGACCTTTTAAGATGTATAACAAGTGCAAACTGGCTATACGTGGTATAAGAACTAACAGAGAGGGAGAGAAAAAGCAGAGGAGAAAGTTACACAATATTGAGCAAAGAATTATTGAAAGCTAAACTTATAAAAGAAAAAAGAAAATACAAACTAAACTGAATAAACTCAGACAAAAAGAAAGGGATTTAAGTAATAATACACAAGCTGCACAAAAGCTTCTAGCTGAGGCAAATGCAAAGCTGCAAAACTGCCTTGAATTTGGGGATAAAAATGCTAGTAATTCTAAAAACTAATGATTCCTTAAGGACTCTTCCAGAGCAAAGATAAAAATTGTTAATAAAATTCTGATTTTATGATAATTGTTAAATTTTTATTAACAATAAGTTATAGAACAGATACATTAACACAAATGCTAATTCATATAGAAGATGAGACATTCATCATTGTAGATAGCATATACCAATAAAAGCATATACACAATAATTACATCTTGTAACACTATACATACACAATTAATTAACATATACACAAATTTATTCCAAGAAACACCCATTAAATACACTTGTTTCTTTTATTATTGGGCTGAAATTTGAAAAAATTAATTTTTTTTCAAATTGCAGCCCAATAATAAAAAATTTCCACTGTTGTCTGTCTGTCTTTCCTTAATCTCAAGAATGGAGTTAGATAGATGAAAGACAAGATCAGATAGGAAACCTTAGGGGCAGAAGGCCCCAATTGACAAATTTCTGATGCAAACCAGAAGTCATGTTATTTCAATGCAAAAATTTTTCCCTGAAACGTGTCAGATAGATGACTGGCATGACTCTATTGTTAAAGGAAAAGTACGATATAATGTATAGGTGCTAACCACTACTAATTTGAGGTGGAGAGCATATATTTTAAATTAAATAAATTAAAAATTGCAGCCCAGCATTGTGACAATGTCACAATAAATAATTGCTCATTATTTGATTAAGTTTACTGTGAAATATTTGGAGCTTTTAACTTTGTTTTAAATTACATTATATAAATATTTAATAATTATTATTTTGCTATTTAGATGTTCTTCAGGTTGAAGGCCTTCCTTTTGGAATGAAGAAAACCGACATGGAACGCTACCTGGAACCCGTAATAAATTTTGGTGGAAAAATTCAGTTTATTCTTGCTGATGGAAAAAACTGTGGTGGAAATGATATAGTTATAGGATCAAAACATCAAGTATTAGCAGTTTTTGAGTCAAGTACTATTGCTCAGAGTGCACTATTAAATATCAAGACCAACAAATTCCAATTGAGGCCTCTATGTAGAAAGGATAGAAATAGCTGTTCAAAGAAACTTTAACAAAAGGATTTTGGGGTAGTATGACCAGAATATTATTTTTATAAAACTGCAAAGAAATATTTATATGAAGTTTGTCTGTTATTTGAAGAGAATCACATCCTGTCTCATTGAATTTCTCTCTAGCTCATATGATCTGGTTACATTTCTGAATTTGAATTTAATTACAAACAAACGTTACCTCTCAAACAAATGGTTTGTTATTTCAGAAAAGAAACATCCTTACATAGAATTCATAGCAGTAATTTAGGAATTAATTTCACTCGCTATCAATTATCAATGGCTTTCACTCTGTTGCTATTATGTTAATTCTTTCAAAATAAACATAATTAACTGCTCAAGTTACATTTCAAAATTATTCATGGTTTTTAATATGATTAACTTCTTTATTTTTACCTCTTATTCTTGTCAATATGTTGCAATCAATGTTACAGAGACTAAAATAAAAATAATAATAAATCAATAATCTAATTGTGATTTTTGTTATAAATATTTTGCTCTTACATTCCATAATTGGTCTATGAATTCATGTAAAAATATTTATTGTAACAAATTCAAGAGAAATATTCAAATTCTAGTATTTGCATAAGTTTTATTTATGTAGCATATTGCATTTTAATGTATTACACTAACTTTTTCAATATTTCATCATCATGATAAATGTTTTTACTTTGTATTTCAATAATTTTGTTAATTGTAAATTAGCCATTTGTTAAATAATTTTCCTACTCAAATATGTTTTCTACTGGAAATCATAAAAAAATAAATGCAGATTGATATTTTCAGATTGATTGGGCATCTTAAATGGAAACACAAATTAAGTAAATGTTTGACATCTTCATTATATCAGATGTGTTCTCATTTCAATAAGATATATTAAACTTTTAAAAAAATATATTCATTGATCATTGTTGAAATGAAAAATTACTTTATACAAAATGAATTAATTTTAAATATTTGTTAAAAATTGATCATTCAAACCAAATGAAGAACTTGATTTTATTACAGTTGAATATTCAACAGAACATATACGCCTGAATTCACACTATATGAAATTAAAATGTTTGACATATAAAATAATCATGTAGATAAAAAAAAAATATTTAAATATATATATATATACATATATAAATAAATTTTCAGTTAATAGAATCACTGTTCTTTTGTTTTATAACAACAATATGAAATGTGTATCATATTTTTATTCTTCTCTTTGGGAAATAATATAAAAAAAAAAAAACATTAAAGATTACTTGTGTAAAAATGTGAACATAATTATTTTATATGATTTAAGAATCAAAATTTAAATAATTATCTTTTATATTTCACAAAATATATTTCATATGATGTCCTGAAAAAATATTATTGACTTTTATTTTATTCAAACTATAAGTTATTGTTTTGCTTTGTTTTTCTAAGTATTAATTTAATTTATCCTCTATCCATTTTTATTGCATTAGTTGATACAAATTAAATATATGAAGCAGCAAAACTAATAATTTTTATTGTGAGAAATTGATCTTTACACAAAATATGTTACTGCAGTATGATTCTCTGAAGTTTACTGTGAAAAAAATTATTATACTGCAAATAAAATTAAAAAATTCTATTTAAAGAAACCTATACTAATGTTCTCCTAATAAAGTAATCAAAATTTTTTCTGTCATTAAATGAGAGAGCAATTTAATTTCAATTATAAAATCTTATTACAGTAAAACCTCTCCAGATGACCAAATTTTCTTAGATCAGAATTTTCCATAGGACTCATTAGAGCCGCAGCAAACTACAGCTTTGTGAGAGCAAAACACTAGCAAATGTGTGCTAGAACACTCAATGACGTGACCCTTTCTTCACACCCATGTGGTTATCCCTCTGCTAGCACAGTGATATGAGTGTATGCTCACTGTTGAATTCTCTCAAAGCTGTAGTTTGTAGAAGCTCTAAAACTGATCAACCCTTTACCTAACCACTTGGACTTATAATCCCTTCATGTCAAATACAATTTTGAGACAGTCAATTTCATCTTGGGATGATGAAATCAAAACAGTGGGCATGTATTGAGCAGTGTATAATGTGATATGTTGCATTGTTGTTAGGTTTAAAATTTATCTCAATTCTTTTACCCCCATTTCAATGTCTCCATTTTCTCCTATTCATACCTATCATGGAGAATATATATAATTTACTGTTAATATTCTCAACAAGTTAGCCTGTGCTTTACTCTTATTAAAAGTAAATAATATAACAAAGCCAATAAATTTAATACAGTAATACCCCGACTTATGCGAACCCGGAGTTACGCGATTTTCAAATCTCATCGATTCGTCTTTTGTTTGAGCGCCATGCAACCCTTGATTACTCACTTCCCCCATACTATTGTTCAGCTTACATGTTCGGATGTGTCGCGCGGAATCGACACATAGCTACAATTTATTTTGTGTTATTTATTTCTGTGTTTGTTATATCTACAGAGACTCGAGAGACTTTACTATGTCATCCAAACAAAGTAGAAATAATTCTTCTGCATCAAACAAGAAAAGAAAAATTTCATCTTTGGAATGTAAAATTAACATTGGGTATGTTCATAAAGTCGAATGAGTTAAACTAGAATGAGGTCATCGTTATTCCTATTTCGTTAGACTTTTCGAACGATTCGTTACTAACGCGTTTAACTTGTTTGACTTTACGAACGTACCCATTATTAATTAAAGACTTCGATACAAAAATGAAAATTTATGAATTGGCAAAGAAGTTTGATCTACTGGAATCGTTGGTCAGAACAATTATAAAAGGCAAAGAAAAAATTCTCGAAGCTGTGAAAAATGCTCAGTCTTTAAATTCAAGCGTCATTCGTAAATGTCACAGTATTATCGCTGAGATGGAAACAATGTTAAAATTATGGCGTAATAATCAAGTAAATGTGAAAAATTGTAAAATAATATAGGCCTAATTTGTTATACATATGTATTATCTAAGATTTTATTAAACATTTTTTTCTAAATTATTGTTTTCTTTAGTCTCCGGCCCCAATTAAAAATTATTTGTATGTATTTATATGCGAAATTATACCCCAACTTACGCAAATTCGACTTACGCGGTTACCACTCAGTCCCACCTATCGCGTAAGTTTGGGGTATTACTGTATTTCCAATAATAGAGATAGATAAAGTGGTAATTGTGATAATGACAGGTGTGGGTGAGATTTGGGCAGTCTTGGGAACCAAAAAGAAATATTTAAGGCATTATCTTATCAAAAATATAATATTGTATGCATTACATTTTCATGTAATCTATTTTCTTGGCAGTATAGTATTAATCAACACATAGCATTTTTTAAATAGCCTTTGTTGTATTGTCTACACAGTAACAGGTGAAGTGTTATAGTAGTATTACATATAGACTGTATTCAGCAATAGTCTTTGCAACAGATACTATTTCTAAGTTCTTTAGCTGCACTAAGTGTTCATAACTTCCTGTTGCTGCTAGTCAATATTGTTGCAAATGTGAGTACTTCTAGAAATATTGTTTATGCTGTTTTGAGATAATGAGTAAAATTTATATCCTAAACATAAATGTAGAAAGTATGTTGCTTAGTAGGATGTTCAAAGACATCAGGAATGAATAAACTTTTGACAATAAGAATGTTTACTTTCTCAAAACATGAAGCCTGCCAGATGGTTTGGATAACTGCAATTTCTCATAAAAAACTGGAACCCTTCATCTGGGAAAAGAATATGCTCAATGCATTTCAATACAGGTAAATAGAGTTTTCTGAATAATCATCTCATGAAATATTGAGTAAAAATATAAATCATAGAAGAGTTAGAAAATGATTTAATACAGTAGTCTCGAAAACTCTGCACTTGATAACCCGGCAGTCCAGATAACTCGGCCACACCCTGGCAGGGCAAAAAAATCCTTATTTAATTAATTTTCATTATAGACAGCTTTATGCCTCATCAAGTATTTTTCTGAGGTCTGTCTTATCAGGTAAATTACTGTACACAGTGTATTCATTAATTTTCATTTTCATGTAGTAAAGGCTCTATGCCTTCATAAAGGATGTACTTTTCCTTTGTTTAAGGGTATTTGGGCAATTTATTCTCTGTTGTATTCTCAAGTAAACAATACATACAAGTACAGTACAATATTTTCTGAGGAAACACTCATACTTATTTTTTTAACCCCATTCCCGATAACCCGGCATTTTCACAATGCCACCCTTCGGTCCACATTAGGCCGAGTTTTCAAGACTCTAACTGCTATTCAATATCCAGAGATAGGTAAACACAAAGAGTAAATCTTAACGTAGATATATTTTTAAAAGAATTTTAGAATTGATGCAAGTGCTGATTAATTAATATAACTTCTATTTAGACACACTATTATTATATGAAGTCTGTCCAGAAAGTTTGCAAACTTTTTAAATTACACACCAACTGATAATTGAATCTGAATGCAACTTGCAGTTCTCTATCGGCAAGTTTTTTGTATTATCTGCTGAAAGCAGTTTGTTCTATCTTCATTTGCTGTTATGTTACAATTGTTTGTGTAAACACACATTAATTGTGTTTTTCAATTTTCTTTCCGTGAGTGCAATTGAGTAGAGAGTTCTGGGACTGGGATGGTCTGATAAAAATTTCATGAAAAGCAATATCACTGGGGGTGAGACATGGGTCTATGGATACAACATGGAAACAAAACATCAGTCATCACAGCAGGTGGGAAAATCTTTACCGCAAGTCTGGTGGAATGTGGAGGCCTTGTTCACTGTTTTGTTTGATTCTGATATTGTCATTCAACGGGAATTTCTTCCAGAAGGGAAGACAGTAAATAAGGAATACCATCTGGAGGTGATGAAAAGTCTTTGTGAAGCAGCAAGGAAAAAATGTTACCATTTTGAATTTATTGATGCCATTAAGTGCACATCATCTAAAAAAAAAAGCATTTCAGGAAGTGTTCTTTTCATGGCAGAAATGCTAACTTTGGTACATAGACTCAGGAGGAGACTACTTCAAAGGCGACAAAACTAAGTAGCTTCTAGGTAAATGCAAACCAAATTCTATTTGCAAAGTATGTGAACTTTGCAGACAGACCTTGTCTAAAAGCATATACAATATTTAAATACAAGATTTATGTTACAATTTTTTTTAGCAAAACACCAATCCAAAATTTGTATCATCATCTATCATCCAAATCAATCCATCATCCAAAAGCAGCTATCTGACATCATTTGTGAAACTAATTTTTTATTAATTGTATTTATTAAAATTAGAATATTTGTTTATATTGTGTTAATTTTATAGATCAACCATCCAATGATCCCAACAATCCAGAGTGGGTACCATTATTGCTTCTTCACAAATCTCAAGAAAATATAAAGTATAAAACAGAATGCTACATTTGCTATAAAAGACGAAATCCAGATAATTCTTTTGAAAATTGTTCAGCTATTTTTGTTTTTTATCATCATCTAATCATACCACAGGAAATAAGCACTTAGGAACTAGCACATCATTTTCAAAATAATGCAGCTGAAACTTCATTGTATACAACACCCTGCCAAAAGTATTAGACATCCTTAAAAAATATTCATTTTGTAGTTTTGATTGCATATAACTATTTTCAGTTACATTTTACAAATTTCCTTTATTTTTTCTGAAAATTCTATATTTATTTAACAGAAGAAAATTCACACAATAGATGTTTTAACATTAGAAAAAAAATGAAATCATTTACATGCAAGACAGAAATATTAGACCACACTTGTATAAAATCTTGTAGGACCACCTATGGCTTTAATTAAAGCTGCAATTCGATCTGCAAGATATTGACTCATTTGGTGTAATTTTATAGCCAATTTCAATTCCTCTTTGTTGCATGGTTTTGTTTTGGATATATTTTTCTTCAATTAATAATGCAAATATTCAATTGGATTCATATTAGGGTTTCTCATTTCCCGGTCTTTTGCTTGTCCCAGGATTCTGGGATAAAAATGAATGGGATCCCGGCTAAAATTAATTATTTTTAAGATGTATCTTGAAATCAAATGATATAATTATTTTTCATTTTTTACAGTAATTTAATACGTTCTGCAACTTCCAAAATCATAATAATGATGTGTAAAATATATATTAAAAATTAACTTTGAATTACGTAGAAATTTTCGCAAATAGAAAAAATTTATTAAAGTTTGCTGGAAACTGCATACAACAACAACAACAAATGCTTTGAATTGAGTTGAAAATTAAAAAATGAATGTCTAACTTAAAGGATAATTTTCATTATTATTTTTTTTTTTAATAAAACATAAAACAAAATATTATTGTAAATTTTTATAATAGGATTTTAAAAAGCAAAGATGGTCAACACTCCAATCACTTGATCTGGTTCTTATTTAACTAATGAAAAGTCCTGCTATCAAGAATGCCCTTTCCAATTTAATTCATGTGGGTGGAATCATCTTTAATGCATTTAAGAGAAGACGGATGTTATGTGTTTTTTTCACCTGTAGCCTGGAAGATTTCTAGTTCATTTTCAAGATTGTAATACTTCTTTTGCTCTCTAGTATTCTTGATTTGTCTACCTCGGCTGTTTTAATAGAAACTTTAAGCTTATAGACCGATAATTCGGTAGTTCGTTTGTGTTTAATAATCAGGTTTATGAAGAAAAACTTCATACTTGTTTGTATCCTTGCCCAATTTGCACAACCTGGCGTTATGCAGTTATTGAAGCTACTGGGCATGGTTAAAAATTAAGATAGCATAAGCACAATTATTCCAGATATTACAGGTTCTGACAAGTAAAGAATTTTCAGAGTCCTGCTACAAATAAGCTACGTATTGATTATTGACCATTTGTGACATGCCATAACGAGGAAAAAAAAAAATAAATACAAATGTATTCTGATAGTTTATGAGTTAATTATACTTTCTATTTGCAAAATTTCCTCAACCTTACCACTAATTAAGAAAAAAGTGAACTTTTAAGAAATTTGCAGGATTTCCCTGGTTAAAAAGCAACCAGGATCCTTTTTGAGAACCCCTAATTCAATATCATGACTGTTTGGTGGACTGTCTATAGTCCTGATATTGTTTTGTAGCAACTATTCTTTAACTGTTTTGCTTTAGTGACAAGAAACATTGTCATCTTGAAAAAGCATTCACTCCAAATATTTCAATAGACGGAATCAAAAGTAATTTAAAATATTTTGATGTATATCACTGTTTATAGCACCATTGAAAATGCAAACTTTGCCTACCCCCCTTGCTGACATACAGTCCCAAATCATTATGCTGAGTGGAAATTTCACATTTGACTTCAGGCATGCTTTGTTAAACCCTTCTGATTGTCTTCACACTTTTGTGTCAATGTTGTCATGATATCCCAAACAAATCAGAATTTCATCTGAAAAAACTACTTTCTTCCAGTAATTGGGTTTCCAGTCTTTATATTTTTTGGCCCAATTTAGTTGCAGTTTCATCTGTTTGGGTGTAATCATTGGTTTAGTTTCTGGACTGGTAACCCATAGAAGCCAAATATCTAATAATTGTTCTTGAAGACACTTGGACTCCAAATTTCTCCCATTCTTTTTCAAATTTTCTGGAGGGCTTCTAATTTTGATGATTTTCTAGGTTTGCCAGAACAATGTTAATTTTTGACTTAATTTTCTAATAATGTTTTGAACTCCAGTTTTACTTACATTTAGTAGTGTTGCAATTCTTCTCTGAGACATGATTTAAAACTTTGAATACAGAGTAAAATTCAAACTGCAAATATACAACAGCATCAGGTGTTGTACTAAGGAGCTTGGAAATGTTTTGTTTATGTGGTTAAATGGTTTACTTCTGGATTCATTAGTGCCTCCAAACATGTTAGAGTATTTCAGATTTATTGTGAATTGTACTTATCAAGTTTTATTGTGAAATATTTTTGGATATACTTCATATGGTCTAATACTTTTGTACAAGAATTTTGCCAATATAAAATTTTGTCTCACGCATGCAAATTATTTCCTTCTTTTTTTTCTAATGTTAAACATTAAAATTCTATTGTGTGAATTTTTTCTGTTAAATAAGTATCAAATTTTGAGAAAAAATAAAGGAAATTTGTAAAATGTAACTGAAAATACAATGGGTGATCGGTTAACGAACATGATCCGTTCCAAGACTTTGTTCACTATCCGAATTGTTTGTTAATTAAATTCCCATTAAAACCTATGGTAAATCGGTAATCAGTTAATTCGTTCTGGAGACCCCCAAAAATAAAAAATATATACTTTCTTACTATGCTTATTTATATGTAATAATAAAAATACATACATATACAGTCTTGCATTTTTATTAGTCATGTTTTTTCTGTTTGAAAGGGTTAAAGAATCTGTCCAATGTCAATTGCTTTTCTCTCTTCTTCACGATTTTTCATAAGTAATTAATAGCACTGTAATTGTAGAGATCCCCAAGCCTATTAACCTCAACCTAGTTTGGATGCCATTCTAAGACTGTTGTTCTGACATCCTCCACTTCTTCAAAGGATCTTTAATAATAGATATCGGCATTAATCCTCTTTTTCAGAAGAAAACATATCTCATCAAGTTTATTGGTGTTCTTCATTCAAGAGTTCTTGGTGTTCTGTCATCAGATCTGTTTCAGGTTCCATTACAAACTCTTCGATGTTCTTTATTTCTCAGATGTGATTTTTGTTACTCCTTTAGCTGCTTGAGTCTTCTTGATTATACAGTATTTTTCTTAAGATTGAATTGCAACCTACTGTAGACCTGTCCACACCATACTGCCCAGCAACATTAGGCATCTTCTGCCCACTCTCTACCTTTACTATTATACGTTCACCTTTCGAAAAGAAAAACAGACGCAAAACTTAGATTGCCTATCCGACAGTCTTGCGAATACATAAAAGAATAATTTTGTCAGAAAAATAAAAGGCTGGAATTACAAGGGACAGTTTCAAAGTTCGGAGGAATACTATCCGATCAGTATATACTGGCTTGAGCGTCGATGTCAACATCTCCCACACTCCGAAAAGTTTCGAATTGTTGCTCGAAGACAAGGGAAGACCAATCAGTATTCATTATTTTATGTTGCTTCTTCTTGTGTTTGTTCTGTGGGGTGTTTGTTATCCGATCATGTGTTCATTGTCTGAACATAAAAATCTTTCGCAAAAGTGTTCGTTAACCGATCACCCACTGTAGTTACATACAATCAAAACTATAAAATCAATGTTTTTGAAGGGTGGTCTAATAGTTTTGGCAGAGGTTGTACCACATTAGAAGAAATATAAAATTAAAAAAAAACAAAATGCTAGTTACATCTAAACAATAGTGAGTCTAGAAAAAAAAAGTTTTTAATGTTTGATCTTGATAAAAGAGATAGAACAGAATATTACAGCTAATATTTATAATTTTATAGTGGATTATAGTTGTATTTACCAAACTGTTACAGTATATTAATACAACTGGAATAATTACAAGTAAATTTCAACTGAGAAAAAATCAGTTTATGCTAGCCTCAATGAAACTGAAATTAGAATTTGTTAATAAAGATCTAAGTATCTGATTTGGAATCAGTGAATCTACAGTTGTAAGGATATTTCAAGACTGGTTTAATTGTTTTAATTGTATTTTTCAGAAAACATATATAATGGCCACAGGAGGCAGTTAAAAAACTGGGTCTTTGAAAATTTTAGATGCATCATTGACTGCTCAGAATCTGCTATACAAAGACAATATGTTTTAAAGATTTAGGGCTGAAACCTATTCCAACTACAAAATACAATTAAGTATTTAATAGCTGTAAGTCCTGATAGATATAGAAGATATTTTGATTCTCTGCTTTAAAAAGTGTGTTACAACTTTAATTACAATAATGCAGATTATTAAAAGTTAGATATTCTCAAGGAAGATTGCTTATACAGTATTTTATTTGTTTGGATACAGATTAACATTTTTTGAAAACTGGTGAATTTATTTAATTGATAAAAGGATTAATGATGGAACAAACGCAGTTTTGAGTGAAACAAAATAATTCCATATTCGTTGCACGCTTCGATAACTGCTTCATCATTAGTAGATCCACCAGGACTGATGATATATTGTACTCCGCTCTGAAAAATAGAATTGTGAATTAGTTTTCTTTTTGAAAATAATATAAATAAATATTTATATTAATTAAATGCACCAAAACTGTATATTCTTCCAGTTTCAAAGAGATTTTCTTGAATTATATGTGGTATTGAGCAATATATGCATTCAATTTTTGTACCATACCTAAAGAGTTGTCCAAAAATAACTCACAAGAATGTAAACAAACCAATTTAGTGTACCAAAGATTTTGAAATTTGACTAATAATTTTTGCCATTGTTATTAATTTTAATCTAACACTTTATTTTAAACTTTTAGCTGAAATAATTATTAAATGACTTAAACTAATGGGATAACAGAAAAATTGTGATTCTCTATTGGACAGATTATTCAGAAATGTCTACTTAGAAAGCTTCGAAACAGCTCAAGCTATTTAATATTAGTCCAAAGCATGGTCTATGGATGTGCAAAAGAAATGTTAGGTAGTAGTTGTCTATTAAAATACTTTGCTATTTTTGTATAAAATCATAATTCTCAGCTGTTTTTTTTTTAATTTATTCAGTTTTCTTTATCAAACTTTGATAATTGAATCAATAGCCCTATTTATTTGTATTGTCAAACAATCTTCCACGGTTAGAGCATAAGTTAGCTGAGAGCCATTGAGGGTTGTGGCCACTAAATCATTTCCATATTGCACTGAGAGTGACTAATATGGTTATATCTAAATAATAGTTCTGGCCCTCCATCCATTCACTTTCAGGTAGTGTAACTGGCAATACATCTGTTTGTAAGCAAGAGTTGTGGGTTCCTATTCTAGGCCAACTGTTTTCTTCTAGAATACCATAATTATTAAAAATTAATTTATTTCTGAGATAGGAACAATTTTGAGGAAGAAAATATGGCTTAGTAGGTAGTTGTGTCACTAATAGTCAATATCATCTATAAGAAGTATATGTATACATAAGACTTTCTTTAATAATTGATAAATTGATGATAATCATAAATTGGAACAATATACTTTTTGGTTTGATGGTGCTACAGCCCATTGCACTAAAGCTATGATTGCAGAGTTGGGAAAAAATAGCATTACAATATAGCATCAATTATCTGAAACAATTCGGGACTGAGGTTGTTCCGATAACTGATCATTTACGAAAAAATATATTGCAAAAAACTGCACTGCATATATTTTGTATCACATGCCTTACAAATACATACCTTACATACTGTACATTAAAGTAGGCCTACAGTTTAGTTGGCAGGGAGGGGGAGAGTGCTGCAGTGCGACAGCACTAGCAGAAATTTGAATTTTCCGATTGGAATGCTTTTGGTTAACAGATGTTTTGGTTGATTGGTATTCAGATAATTGATGCTCTACTGTATTTCTGTTCTTCTAAATGTATGGTATCTCAATTACTTCCAATTGAAAGATTTTAAGTTCATTTAAAATCTTTATTCTAATAATTTTCAAACACAAAGTTATCATCAATTAAAATGCAGAATAGTAGCAAAGCTTAAAAAGTTTGACAAACTAAGAGATCAAATGTCAATGGCTACAAGTTGTGGGCCATTAAGTCATGAAGTAATATTTCAGAGAAATTTTAGTGAAAAAACTTATTGGCATTGGTAAAATATTATTTGCAGACTACCCTTATAATAACAGATTTAATGCAGTAACTGGTTAACTAAAACAGTCAAAGTATGGAATGAATTATAAACAAAGTATCAATAGTTAATTTATGAAATAACAGAATAGAATGCACAATTATTGATGCACGTATCAATAACTGTGCATTCTACTCAGACCTTAAAATCAATAAACATGTTGATATTCTGTGTGTAACGTCTTTGCAATCCAAACAATAATTTTGGTAGACAATCAAACAGCAATTAGTTAGAAAATGTTACGGTTTATTTAAAACACTTTTTTAATCCAGATGCATTTCGGGTTGGCTTGTATTCCCAACCCCTCTTCAGTGCTGTTAAAATTACAAAAAACAAGACGAGTTTCACGACATTGGTAAGTAGGACAAAAAAAGGAGGGTGACAATAACAAAAAACTTACATGTCATATAATGGTACAGCATAGACTTGTGTGACAATATTTTTATTACATAGTTGTATGTTAATATTGTCACACAAGTCTATGCTGTACCATTATATGACATGTAAGTTTTTTATGTTATTGTTACCCCTCCTTTTTTTACATCCTACTTACCAAGGTGAAACTCATCTTGTTTTTTGTAATTTTAACAGCATTGAAGATGGGTTGGGAATACAAGCCAACCCAAAATGCATCTGAATTAAAAAAGTGTTTTAAATAAACTGTAATGTTTTCTAATTAATTGCTGTTTGATTGTCTACCAAAATTATTGTTTGGATTGCAAAGACACTACACAAAGAATTTGAAGATACAGCAACCATACCTTCTACATTAAAAAAAACATGTTGATAGTTGTAGAAAATAGTAGGGCCCCTTCATATTGCCAACTATCATTTGTACTAACAGCATAAAAGATAGTTGCTTGGCACACTGCATGATTACTCAAAGCTTTTGTTATTTTGTTAGAGAAATTATTGTGTTAAAAATTTTTTTTGCTTCCATTATTCATAAGTTGTTTTAGTCGAACATAGTGTGAAAGACAAGTCACTAGATCATGGACTAATACTATTTATAGATGAGTCTTTACAGTCTCTCATCTGACTCTAAATATATGCTAATCTTTTTCTTATCAGATGTACAATTAAGATTACAGATTAAAAGAAATATTACAATGACCACAAACATTGTAGAAAGGGGCAGATATGATGATGTGGACTGGCATGATGCCAAATGGATGTAACTCCAGTACTTTATAATAGCATTCACCAGTTAGTCCTTTTGTCAAAATGGCCTACACTAAATTTGACTCCTTGCCCACAGCATCATGGAACAATTTGTCTTCATAGACAACACTGCCTAACCTATTGTACGAAATGTTGGATGAACTACAGGCCTACAAAAAATCAAAGTGAACACTTTTAAGTGAATGTTGTAGAGCAGTGTTTTTCAACCTGTGGGTTGTGACCCCCAGGGGGTCGCGGGTAAAAGAAAAAGTCAAGTGTTTGTAGGTCCTACACTACAATAAAAAAAACTACAATTTCAGTGAGAAGGCTGTGCCTGTTTATTTTACAGTACAATTGGTTTTTTGATTGATATTTAAATCTCAACAGAAAGAAAATTAAATACGTAGTTTTTAAAATCACTGACATGGTTTTAATATGGCCATGGGGGGTCGCCAGAACTTTTTAACTTGTAAAGGGGTCGCATATTCAAGAAGGTTGAAAAACACTGTTGTACAGTAATGAAAGTGATTTGAAAGTGATGTTTGAGTCGTAGCAAGTGTATTTGTCAGAACAGTTATCTAGGGCAAAATTGTGAATAAGAAAATAAGTGATGAAATAGTTGGGACAATTAGGACTCTTAGAATTTAGGTGGAGGGTGGGCCTTCAGACAAATTCAGAAGAATTTAAGGACAAAATAATAATGTATTTCCATTGGACAGATTTCAAACATTAAAAAAGGTAAGCAGAGAGCATCCAGACAAGGATCAAAGCAAAACAGTGCTGATCAAAATTGTATCCTATCAAATACAACATTTCAAAGACTAAAGACAATGGCCAGTATGGAGAACTTGCCAATTCAATGAGAAATAGGATGAAGGTTTGGTGTTAGTCAACAAGTAGCCAATTATAATCTGAAGAAAATGGGCCTTAAACTTGTCAACAAACCTGCATGTCAAGAGCATTCCAATGCATCCATCCAGAAGAGATACTAAAAGTTTAGGCCGGTCTACCATCTGCTGAAGAAATATAAGTGGCAAAAGTTTATCACAACTGATTGGATTTAGTGAGATAGAACCAAGCTTGAAGGCAAGAGGAAGATCTACTACATTAATAGGAGCCAAAATCATTCCAAAGCACCTCCATCCTCGAGGGGTTATGATTTGAGCCAGAATTTCAGTGAAGGAAGCAATAAAGCCCATTTTCATGGAACCTGGGGCAAAGTATCATCAAAATACTACATCAAGATCCTTCATCCTTTCTTCTGGTTAAATGCCAATGTTTATTTTGCTGAGTATTGTGACAGGTGACAAAAGCTGTTCCTCCATTATACACCCAAAACAAAATGGCAGAGTATGGAATGGCACCACCTCAATTCCCCAAAAAAATGAAGGAAAAACAATGCCATCAGTTGGAAAAGTTATGGGATCCATTTTTTGGGATGCAGATGGGGTGATTCTGGTGGAATTTCTTGAACATGGGCAAATCATTAATTAAGTTAATGCTGCTCGATACATCATGACACTTCATAAGCTCTGTCATGCATTGTGTGATAAATGTTCTGGGAAGATCATCCTGCAGCATGACAATGTGAGGCCCCACATTGCTCGTTACACCATGGAGGAAATTCAGAAAATGGGATGGAAAGTTCTTCCACATTCCTGTCTACAGACTCAATTTAGCATCCTTTGATTATCATCTTTTCAGCGTTGCAGAGGAAAACATGCAAGGTCAATGATACGAAACAGTGGAGGACATCAAAAAAACAGCATGTCAGTTTTTTTTGCAGTGCTGAAACAGAATTCTATCATAAGGGAATTTTCAAGCTACTATGATGGTAGGAAAATGTATCAAAAAAAAAAAAAAAAATAGAGACTACTTGGAAAAATAAAGTCTGAAAAATAATGTATTTGTTTTTTCAAAACTAAATCAATTGTATCTGATTTTCAAAAATTGATGCTTGTGATTTTTGGTATGACACTTGTACTGTACATATATATTGTGATTAGAAATTTTTTATCCTTTTTTTGTCCTTCTAATAAACATCTTCTCAATTTGGCACCTTTTGATTTTATTCATATCCCTTAAGAAGCATCTCTCTAATTTGAAAATCATCACAGATTTATAAAAGAGCATTGCTGCTTTTAATAGAAAATTCTTTGAAAATGTTCCAAGTTCTATATCAAATTTGATAACAGAACCATATTTATATTCTTTAAAATGTCTACTCACTAACTACTGAAGGAAATTATACTGTAAAAGTAAAAAAAATTATAAATACATACTTGGCGTGCACGATCTATATTATCTCGGAATGGAAAAAATGCATCCGAACTCAAGGCCACACCAGACAATTGAGAAATCCATTGTTCTTTTTCTGACTGTTAATTGAACAAAGCAACTGTCTGATGATACTTTTACAAAAATTAAGTTTAAATTATTTCTAATAAATTTTACCTCAGTTAGAGGAGAGGGTGGATTTTCTAAAGCTGATTCAAAAGTCTCTCTAGACATATCCTATTTTATAAGATTTTTATTAAATGTACAATTTAAAACACAGTTTTAAGAGAAAAGAATCTTAAATAAAAAAACTTACCTTTCCAATACTTCCTGCAACAAAAACATCAATGATATTTGACATTTCTGCTCGTTTGACACCTTTCTTAAATACCATTCCTGTCACTTTAGGATGTTGACGTAACCACCTGCAAACATTTGATATTGTCTCAAATATTATTAAGTTTTATCACAAAGGAAAAAATATTGTCGCAGGAACAAACGGCAATCAGTCGTTAGAAATACAAAGGGATTTATTAACTCAGACAATGTACAACTCCTGCAGCTTACAGTAAAAGACGAAGAAGCCCTCTCAGCCTGAGAGCTGGCTGTTATATCCTACAGAGACATGGTAGAAACATGGTAATTGGTTGGTATTTACATAAGTTCTCAGACCGGGAGAACGTACCCACACAAAAAAAACTTGCATCAATGAGGGTTGAACCGGCGACCTCTGCTCGATAGTCCAAGCCGCTAACCTCTACCCCATGAATGACACGGTGGGAAGAGCAAGCCGCGGCATTATGCAACACAACTTATGGCACATATGATTCCAACTGAACTTGGATCTCTAGTTAAAACTGTCCCAAAGCCAAACACTCATTTCAACTAAATATTTTCATAAATAAGTAAGCCTATTTTTACACTAAATATAAAAATTCTAAAATAATCATAAGAGGAAAAAGGATGCAACATTGAAAACTTAAATAGCAATGGGCTTACCATAAAATTTTTTCCTCAAACTGGGACAATTGTGAGAAAATACGACAGAAAATAAAGCCTACTAGGATAAGTACCTATGATTGAAAAGGCTAAATAAAGAAATTGTTAACAAAACACAACAATGAATTAAAAGCAATTTTTAATAACTCAACTTCAACCTTATTATTAAGAAGTTATTAATATTTATCACTAGTGTAAATTTTCTTTAAAAATTCTTTTTCATCAAATTGGTACCTTTAAAACATGACAATATTTTTTTTTTGTGTCTTCAATTAACTTTTACAAAATTAATATCATCCGACGAAATTTTAAAATCAAAAGTTTGCAAAGATTCGTCACCAGGGGAAGCCATAGAAATCTACATATACCAGCGCATTTCTTCAGTAGATATAAAGGCCGAAAATCCCCAATGGAAAAGGATGGAAAACATGAAGATGGCTGTAAGACCCATGAACTCTAAGTTGAAATTTATAATTTTAATTAGATATTTTTCTGTGTTTTTTAAAGGAATGTTTGTAAACTTGATGGCCAAGTAGCCTAAAAAAGAAGGTCAGGTCGTCAAAAAGTTTTTGTTCTGGAACACGTGAAGTGAATAAATGGTGTCTACCAAAAAAGTTTTTTTTTTATATTTTTATATTTTTTAATGTGTCTTTTTATATTTTTATGTGTCTTCAATTAACATGACAATATATTTGAGGAAGTTCCTATTGCTATTAGGCTTGCCTTATGTTTTGTACATTTCAAGTGATTTTTAATGTCTGAATATCCACCATGAGTTACTGAAAATTCTGAAAAGCACATTTCATATTTCACTTTGTCAACACAATCTCAAAACTTTTCAAAAACGGATAATCCTTTTTTCAATCATCAGCAAACACAGTTTCTTTTTGGCATTTTGGAAATTAAATTAATTTAATGTACAGTACAAAATAATTGCAAATGCTGATTAGCAATTTGAACTCAACTAAGATGCATGCAACAATGACATGGCCAGTGTGTCATAAGTTTCAGTTTTGTCAACTCTAATTGAAACAAAATATCTAAAACATGAAATAAAAATATCTGGATCTCATAGGCTACATGCTATTATAAATTCTGTGAAAAAATATATGAATGAAAAAAATAAAACATCTAAATTCATAAGGCCATATGCTATAAAGTTTAGGGGAAAACATCCAGACAACATTAAAAGTACTTAGATCTAGATACAAAATATTTAGATTGGCAACAGTGAGTGTAACGAAGGGGATTATTTAGTTGCCAAATTGCCATTTTACCTGAGGCTGCTTTTACTACTAGTATATTTGGCACTTAAAATTTTACCAAATGACAAACAAACTGGCTGGGACACAGGGACCACATCGTCAACCTGGGACAGTCCTGGTCAAAGTGGGATGTCTGGTAAGCCTAAATAGCAATAAAGTATTTAAAAACTTTGATATCTAGACATTACCTAACCTTCACCAGACCTCTTTCAGGCTTTAACCAATTGATTCAAGTTTTATTAAGCTAATTGACAAACGGATAGTTTGGATCTCCACCTGAATTTTCAACTGGCTGAAAGTCAAGTGAACAGAAACAAAAACTGAGAAGGACAGACACACTGCCAAGCTTTTTTGTCAAACAAAATACCCTTTAATTTCCCTTTTAAATTTGTGACATCAACATTTTTCTTTCCCCTCCTTGATCTCAGGTATGCAGCAATTGCTGGTCTAAATGTGCCTATAAAATTTTATCACTCTATCTCAACATGGGAAAACTATCAGAACTAGAGGTGAACTGAAAGGGAAGTAAGTCTCATTAGTTTTGATATGTTGCACTTGGATGATGATAATATCCTTGATGTAAATATGTGACTGTTTGTTTGTTGCTGCTGCAACAGTGGCATCACTATAGTCTGCTAACAATTATACTATTTTTGAAATTCTGTCCATAGTTTCCCCATTTTGAGATAGAACAGTTACAGATAAAATTTAGGCATGTTTGCCTACAGAGTTGTCTAAAGTAGCATACTTTAAGTCAGATTTTAATATACAGGGTGTTTATAATTAATCAAATAAATTAGAATTAGCTAAAATTATACTCTTAATATTTTACAAAATGTTACCTCCACAGTTCCTCATGCATGGTCATTCAACAAATATCATTGTCAGATATACAGTATAACCAATTGGAGTTGTAATCCTGGCAGTTCATATAATTAACTGCTTGTAATGAATCCTCACATATGATAATATATTTTTCATAACAATTAAAAATACCTTTCAATCAAAGGTATTTTTAAAGATCAGTATTTGTTATGCATATTTTAAGTTTTAATAAAAATAGTTTTATAAGTTTACAGAAAGAAATTTGTAAAGTGACTAAATTATCCTAATAGTGATTAAAGAGGGCCAATGAATTCTCTCTCAAAATTTTCAATAAATAAAACCGGTTATTATTTGAATTGTACCTACCAATTGTTTGCTTTGTCTCCAGCCAATCTGGTACAATGAATTCTGGATTGTTGTCCTGCACCAGTCCCAATTACCTAATTTCATTAGAATAAATGAAGATGGATCAATAAGACTACAAAGATATTAGCCACAAAAATGCATATTTTGTAATAAATGTAATGCATCTTTCAAAATTTTAGATAATGCTACCAGATTAGTCTAGCTTAATAATCTGTTAATTGATATAATATTTAATAAGATAAAGCTTTGTCATTTTAATTTTAGAAATTTTATTAAATTATAAAACTAATAATAGATTTATTTAGACTTTCATTTCTTCTGTAAGTAAAGAATTATAGCAGTTGTGGAGCAGTCATCTATTATGATTTTTTTGTTAGCAATTTCAGTATACTAATATATCAATCAAAGTTTATTTTTTCAAATAAAATCTCAGTTTAAAACACTAGCCTCAGAAATTATATCATAAAAGTGAAGATTACATCACTCCTTATATTAAGCATTTTTTTAGGTAATCCAAAACATATCAATATTAAATAAAGATGCAATTACAAAATTAGTAAGAATATTTAAATAAAACATACAAAAATACATACTCATTAACAATTGATCTCTGTTTTTTGATGAACTAAAAATATCTGTAGTATAATTTAATACTCATAAACTCATTTTGAAAAAGGTATTTATTGATTAGTATAAAAAAAAAAATTTGGTTGTTATTCTGCGATCAGTAGAAATTAAAAATAAATTCTAAAGTTTTGATAATTTATCAAAAAATCTAGTTATAAGTAAATATTGAAATACCTGACCGTCTTTTGCATAGCACACGGAATTGGACTGAGTGTATTTTACAGCTGTCGTAGCAACAATTAAATCTCGCAGAGCTTCTTTGGATAACTAAAAATATTTGAATTAAAAATATAAAATTGTTTCAGATAATACTTAAATTTTATAAAACATTAAGTAAAATATAATACATTTTTATTCTTTGAAACTATATTTTTAGTGTCAAACAAATCTTTGTTGATCAAAGCATTATTTCTCTTCTGTTCCAATGTCAATCCAAATAACACTTTAGATTCCATAACTGCAGGTTCGTAAGCAAGATCCATCTGAAATGAAATTAGTTTCATAAAATGGATATTATATTTGGTAACAAAATTCTATAGTTGCTTTACTAGGATTTGCTGAGCTCTCCGAATACAAATTCATACATTATAGTAAAATTATAATCTAAAGTATAGAAGCAGTTAAAATTGATGCACTGTGTTGGGTCACTTTAATAATGTAATCATGTTGTATCTTTTTTTTCATACAATTTCTCTACAATAGCAGCATACATATTAAAATCTGAAGTATAATAAAATCAATTTGCCATCAAGCCAAGTCAATCTTATTGCCAATTCAAGTCTAAAGTTTGAGACAATAAGTATCTGATTAAATTTATCATTTAATTATTAATAGAAAAGTGACAAAGAATAAATTTAAAATTAAGCACTATTAAAAACATTAACTATGAACCTAGAAAAATCTTAAAATGATCTATGTATAAATAATAGCTGAAAATTTTGAAATTTACACTGTCAGACATAAAAATATATACATATATAAATATCATATAAATAATTTTGTATTAAAATTAATTAAAAATTTTTTTTTAGTAATTCATGCGACTTACAAAATTATAATCAAAGTAAAATCATATGTTGAAATTTGCTTATTTTCTTGTGGCTTTATGGTAAAATTGTATTTACCATAAAGCCAATTTATGGTTAAGCATTATTTATTTATTGAAAAAATAAATAAATAAATAAATAAGATTTTTAACATTTGATTAATATATTTTGATGAGAAATTGTTGTTGAAATCTTAATTAATTAATTAATTAACATCTCAGATACTAAATTATCTTGCTCAGTTTTGTATATATCATCTTTATTTATAAATCTATTTTTGATTTGAAATTAAGGCATCAAATGAATTAATAAATTCATTTAATTGGTTAGAAATAATAGTGTATTTAAGCTGTTTGATGTTTAGCAACATCAAAAAAGATAGTTCAAAAATATAATTGAATAGTTTTTTTTTTTACATTCAACATTGTTATATTAATTATATGTAAATATGGATCTGAGATATATAATAGATAAATGGGAAACTTTCATTTAAAACAATCAAAGAAATATGAGTGTTAATAGATAACATGATTATATATTTCCAGACTGTCAGACAGAGAATTAAGTAGCCCCAAATAAACATGAGATTGGATTTTATGTTCAGAAAATTATACTATTCTAAATGCAACTACATAATTACTATATGTCAATAAATTTAAATTATCATTTAAGATATTTTCCAATCATTCACTCAAAATATTTAAAAATCCTAATATTAATTACTCACATCTTAGCATAAAGTTTGTTAAAATGTAAATTATTTTAAAATATATACAAATGTTTACACACAGAAATATAACTGAAAAGTACAAAACCTTTGTATTTTATCTCCAAAATATTTTTGTATAATAGTGAATAAAACTATGAGGGTCATATTGAAAGTCATGAGCAACAAGTTTTTATAAATCATATTAATTTTCTAATCAAAGGCCATGGTAAGTATAGACTCCATAATTATTAAGTTTTACATAATTGTCCTCATTTTTTGACATCACATTTTGAAAAGCATTCAAAAAACAACTTCTATCTGAATCTAATAAATGTAGATAAATTGTATCAGATGACTTGATTATTAAAGTAAAAAGTCATTTTGGATTTTTATAATTTTCAAATGTACATTTGTATTCTATCATATTATGAATGTATTTAGTCACAAGAGTATTAAGTTTGTAATTCATAAAAATATTTAATAAATTTGTTTTTAAATGTCATTTTTATCATTTCAAAGTTTCATTAAGAAATCAGCAAAATTGGAAAAGATTTTCTCCATTCTTTCTTGAATGCAGTTACAATTTTCTTTTTTTTTTCAATTAATTCTCATGAAATGATCAGAAAAAATCATATCAAATAAAATTTAAAATTCAAATTAAATGAAATCAAATATATTTCATATCATATTTTTGAATAAGTAGAACAAATGTCAGCTACAGTTCATAAATATGAAGAGTTTTATTAGTATAATTCAGTCCAAAAAATGTCATAAACATATTTTTGTACATGTAACCTATGGATTATATAACTTATTTTGCAAAAATATTAGCTATAGAATAAACGTTTTATTGATTTCAGATTGGTGGTTGCAGTGACATCAGTGGCCAGGTGATGTTCATGCTTAATGAGGAAATTTCCCTTAAGTTGCATTTTTAAATATTTTGGCAAATGGTGTATTTTAAACATACTTCATTAAATTTAAACTTTAAAAAAAGATAGCCTCATTGAGTCACTTCTACAAAATTTTTAAAAATCTTCCCATAGCAACCACATGATGTTCTATTATCCAATCAAAAGTAACAATCTAATGAGCCCATTATTTAGAAAGTGTTATCAATCATCTAATTAACATACATGCAATTTATCTTTGTTTTATCAACATTGAATTAAAAAGACTTGCTATTTTCTCAAAAAAAAAAAATGTCTAGGGGAAAGCATAAGAATAAAACTGGTCAGGTAAATTCTAGATCTAAAAGAATAACAACTGAGACCACAAAGGGCGTGAAGAACTTGAACAACATTGAGTAAGAATGGCTTTGTCAAGGGTGCAGAAACAGCATCACAACGTCAAGCTCGACTTGATGCTCTTCTCAATTCTTCAATCTTTACTTTCTCATAAAAAATATTCCATCATGCTTGATGGGAGAATTTCTAGTATGATAGGATTTTTGTTAGCCCAAAGCAAACAACCCACAGATGTTAGAAAACTATTTCCTTTACACATGATATAATTATTTACAGGTTCAATCAAGAATGTAAGCTCTAGGATGGTTTCTCCAGCAAAACCCTAAACCCGATTGTAAGTGGAAATTACAAAATTAATAAATGACCATGACACACCAAATTGCAACATTTCTAATCCAATACAATAAACAAAAATATTTATTACAATGATAATTTTTCTTAAACTAATCCTTAATACTAAACTTACACCATTATGGAAAATTGAAGATAGGGAAGAGAAGTAGTAATGATAACAGATAGGACAGAACAAAGACACCTGTGTCCTTCAAATGTCTTTTAGTTCTTGTTGTTGTGAGTGGATACGTGAAACTTCTTGCACAAAATTCATGCTTCTGTCTTCTACTCCTTGGTTCCTGAGGGTTTTTATTTATATCCAAATTGTCAGTCGCTCATTCAAAACTCACACTGATCAAGATGAAAGATGACTCCAACACATTAACTTTGACCCAGGAATTTCAAGGATTCTCACTCAAAGTTATGACTTCACAGTATACTAGGGTATCAGACAATATCATATCTACCGTTTCGTCATCCTCTCTCTTTGAACATCAGCTCAAAAGTGACCCTTCTTACCTACATATACTCTTAGGTAACCTCATACTCATTGTACTGGTTATTCCAGGAAGTAACCCTCACCTCTAAGAAGGAAGAACTAAGGATAATAGGAAGTTCTAGAAGGGAGAAAGAACAAAAGAACAAGGAAAATGTACAAACAACAAAAAACAAAAACAGATAATATGGCATAATGCCACAATTATAATTTTAAAAATTATTGCTAACCTTTAACATGCAATAAGCACCACCCTTCTTCTTCTTCAATATTTCAAATGCTGCTGGTGTATAATCAGGAGCTATAATACCATCTGAAACCTTAAATAATAATTAGTATATTTAGCAAAAAATTTTTACATTATGTAAATCTACTCAGCTTAAAATCATCACAGTACTTTCCATCATAAAAAGAAAACAAAATAGAAACAATACTGGGAATCAATGAATTGTCATGAACTTTTGAATATGTGAGCAGGGTGTAGAGGTAGGCAAAGGTGAGCGAAGCAAGCATGGGTGGGAAGTAGAGTGAAGTAAGTGAGGATTGGATCATCATAAAATTTTTTTATGAATAGTCTTAAGTTATTGGGAACAAGGAGTCCAAGCTTGTGGAGCAACACAAGCAAAATGAACTACATAACCAAAGAATTAGAATGTTTTTCTGTGGAACATTCAAAAAATCATGATGTTTGACCAATTAAAAAAAAATTTGTTTTCGTTCAGGAATCTGAGTTACTCTATATTCAATTTTGATGGAGAAAATCTGAAAGGTATGATTTTTTTATGATTTGAATAACATTTTTTTCCAATTAATTTGAGTATGGACATACATTTCAAAATGGATCTGAACTTAGTTTATGTTGCAGAATCCTCGTTCAGAATTAGATAGATAAAAGTATATATAGTATTGAAATTTTTATGAAACATTATATTGGGAACAAGTAAGTGAAGTGAAGGAAGAATTAGACTGCCAAAGGCACCCAGGGAGTAAAGCCCACTAGTAATTATAAATATTTATTAATATCAATAATGCCAGATAGCAATAAAGGCATCAGCCTATTACTCTCAGGACCTGTGATTGAATCAAAGCAACCCCAGAAATTTTTCATGGATGTCCTGCATATTTTCAGTTCTATCCTTTCATCACCCAGTTGTCCCATTGAACAGAATGAGTCAATTATGAAAAATAAATGCTTACTTCTCTTGAAATTATTTTTGCTGTAATTTCATCACATGGATCAGATAAAGCAATGAAATCACCAAAGGAAGACATTCTATCAGCACCTATTTATATTTTTAAAAAATCATATAAGTTATATAAATATTAGTAAATTCTTAAATATTTAAATTCAAATATTCTCTATTAAAAAATGTAAAAGCAAAGTTTATTATTATGTTTATGATTTATTTCATGGTACAGATGAGAGTACAGTCGACCCCACTATAACGTGCATTCCTATAACGTAGCGAAAAAATTGTAGCAACATTCGTATAAATGAGCTCCTAAAACGTCGTCGCCAACTCGTTTCGCGACAAGATTGATAGAATCTGGACCAATAGTGGATGAGCAGCCGAACTACTTTCCTCCGCCCTGCGCCACGCTACTGAGCGGCTAAATTGAGTTTGCTATCGTCTGTACAGTATTATATATAAATTTATATATAAATTAGGTACTGTATATATAATTATATATTAACTTATTTATTGTAACTTTATTATAATTATATATATGCTTTCCGCTGCATGGCTCCACGCTACGGAGAGTTTAGGCTAGTAAGTTGAGTTTATTATCGTCTGTACAGTACGTAAATTAGGTACTGTAAGTCTAATACAGCACTAATTTTATACATTTCTTGTGAAAGAAACATTTCTTATTCAACGGCCATAAAAATTATTTATATTAATGATGTCTCCAAAGGTCAAGTTATTTTTCTGCGAAAAATTCGTTATCAGAAATCGCGGCTGCCGTTTCGTGTGCTGTTCCGCGACGAAAACAAGCTTTGAGCAACTGCGTAGTCGAATGGTGCACACTCGGTAAGTAATCCTATAATTTTTTGTTTATAGCATAGTTTATACAGATTATTCCCAAAAAATTATACGTGTTTTGGAAATGTTGAGTGAAATTAGTCTAGAATCGGTTAATTTTATAGAAGAAAACCTTTCAAACAGCCTTAGTACGTAAACTTCACACCTATCGGGCTGCAATTGGCTCATGTATTTAATCATTCCTACAATGTAAAATTCGATTAACGTGGAACGTATCTAAGCGTTATAGGGGGGTCTACTGTACATTCTCTTTTATTCATTTTAATCTATTTTGTTATTTCAAACATTAATAAATATAAGTAAGTATGAATCTTATAAAACAATAAAGCTTATAAATATCAAAATGCTGAAGTTAACTGCCCCACTTAACAATAATAATAACCCATCAACATAAATAAAGAAAAAACAAACAAAATTACTTATAATCATATGTAAGTTTTTTGCATCTTCATCGAAACATATAAGGAATATGCAGCAAAAGTTCAATTTCAATCTAATCCATAATGGCATTGTATAAGTAGGATTGCTGAGTTACATTTAGTCTATAATTACAAATGTACAAACAAGAGCCATGTCATATAACTCCAGCAGGTATGCACAAATCAATGTCACAAGGTGAAATCAACTCATTAAATTTCTTAAAAATAACAATTCTATTGAAATATTGAATAAGACTGAGGGGAAAAAAAGAAACCCCTGGTATGACTACACCTAGAATGCAAATTCAGCACACAGCAAATGACAAAAGTTATTGAATAAGAAATATGTTTTATTTAATAAATAACAAATCTTGTCCAAAGATGATAGAAAAGTTGAAGTCCAAACAGTAAGACTATAATATATCGAGTTAAAAATTTGCAAAAAATATGGTCCTTAATACAGATCTAGATGATACTTAAATAATGTCTCCATAACAAGCCACATCTAATCACCAAGGCTTTAGTCACTTTATCAATATGATTAGTGAAAGTTAACTTTTGATCAATGTCCCAACTTCCCATTTCCTATGACATTTATTAACTATACATACCATATCAAGGAATCCATCTATACCAAAGGGAAAATAAATTGAGATTTTTATCCAAGTCAGTTGTAATAGGTTTTCCTTTATTTAAATAAATTCATAAATTCCATGTCTTCAATGATTTGGCAAGACAAAACAAGTTGTTTTGAAGTGAAATAAGATTGCTATTAAATAACTTAACATCATTTGGCATAACCAGCCTGAAAACATGCAAAACAAGGATCAATATAAACCACAATAAAGAGACTGCTCAAAACCAAACCCTCGGATATACCACACAGAAATTCAGAGAAGGTAAACTCAGCATCCTCCTTTATTTACTAAAATCATCACTAAACAGCTTTGGCTGCTTTATTTATTTGTTTTCATAAATGTTCAATCTCCAGTATTCCCAAAATGATTTTAAATTCTATTGTAAAACTATTATGCATTTATTTTTATACTGTCAAGCTGAAGATAGTTCAATACAGAGGAAAAAACATTCCTTAGTTAATAAGCATCTATTGGTTACTGGAAGCAGCTTAGTATTTATTTATTTCAATAATGATGCCATTTTTTGTTAACTGAAGTATATGAAATATGCATGATAAAATTCTGAATAATTAAAATTGAAATTATTAATGCACCAAAAATTTTAGTAGTAATACATATTTACCACGTGCTCTAGCATAAGCAATAGCTAAAGGAGTTAATTGTTTATATAAATCATCAACCATACAAACTTTAGCTTGTTCAAGAGTAAGACTATCTCCAACTGCTGCTCCTATAATGATAACAAAAATAAAATGTAAGCTTAATGAATTTTAAAGTAAAATAAAACTTAAAACTTAATCTGGATATTTTTACTTACCAGCTGGACTGACATGTTTGAATGAAGCTGCTGCAGGCAATCCAAGAGAGGTTTTTAATTCTTTTACCAACTGCCAAGAATTTAGTGCATCACAAAGATTTATAAATCCAGGAGATCCATTTACAACTGAAATTATAAAAATAAATTAATGATTACTTAAATCATGGCACTACATTTTTCAATATTTTCTAAATGAATATCTAGCCTAAATATATTGCAAACTGATTTACTTATAAAAAATTAATTTTATTAATAAACATCAAAAATTCAAACTCATTAAATAAATCTTTATAGTGTTACTTTTTAAAAATGGTTTTTAGCTCTTTACACCCTGTGGACATTAAGAGAGTCTTTCTTTTCAGCAAGCTCATTATGGGTTCAGCCAGACCCATAATAGGGACAGGGCCTGACGTATTCAGATGGTCCACTCCAAAAAACTTTCCAGGGATTTTTGGATTCGATTCTGGGTTCCCAGGGCAGTAAGCTGCCACCCAGCCATCCCATAATATTGGTTATAACATCTTATACAATCACATGTTCACATCATAATTAAAATTATACCCTAAGAAAGTGTCAAGAAACTTTAGTTACATTTATAGAACAGCCAACAGCCAAGGTGATAAAGGCCAAAAATACAGCAAAAATAATGTATTGTAATATGCTTAAACTTATCCAATTCTAACATGATGATTTTTCTATATTTAAAAAATGAATCATTTCATCAAATATCAACAGATATAAATTTGTTTCAAAAAGAATTAATATTTATGAAAAATGATTTATTAAAAATATATTTTTCAGCAATTGAAATATGTAATTTCTTTATACAGTAATACCTCGACTTACGCGATTTTCAAATCTGGTCGATTCGTCTTTCGTTTGAGCGCCACACAACTCTTGATTACTCACTTCCCCCACACTATTGTTCAGCTTACATGTTTGGACGTGTCGCATGGAATCGACATATACTGTAACTACAATTTATTTTGTGTTATTTATTTCTGTGTTTGTTATATCTACAGAGACTCGAGAGACTCTACTATGTCATCCAAACAAAGTAGAACTGATTCTTCTGCATCAAACAAGAAAAGAAAAACTTTATCTATGGAATGTAAAGTTAACATTATTAAAGAGTTCGATACAAAAATGAAAATTTGTGAATTGGCAAAGAAGTTTGATCTACTGGAATTGACAATCAGAACAATTATAAAAAGTATAGAAAAAATTCTCGAAGCTGTGAAAAATGCTCAATCTTTAAATTCAAGCATCATTCATAAACATCATGGTACTAGTCCTGAGATGAAAACAATGTTAAAATTATGGTGTGATAATCAAGTAAATGTGAAAAATTGTATAATAATATAATTTGTTATACATATGTATTATCTAAGATTTTATTAAACATTTTTTTTTTCTAAATTATTGTTTTCTTTAGTCTCTGGCCCCAATTAAAAATTATTTGTATGTATTTATATGCAAAATTATACCCCGACTTACGCGAATTCAACTTACGTGGTTATCGCTCAGTCTCACCTATCACGTAAGTTTGGGGTATTACTGTATTGTACTAGCAGATATGCCCAGGCAAAAAGTAAGAACAAGCATTAAAATAAGAATGAGATACTTGGATGGTATGGAATTGTACAATTTCATTGGTTGGGTAGACAGGAATTGTTTTTCAATAGAAAATAGTCATTGACTTCCACCTGCATGAGAAGATAATTCAAGAGATGCAAATTTTTTCTAATGTTAATTCTAACATACCATTCACAGCCAAATAAAAAATGGTAATTGGCCAACCAATGAAATTTTGCAAAAAAACAGACCAAATATTTAAACTTTATATCCTCGAAAACCTCTAAAAATGTATAATGTGCTTGCCAGTAACTTTGTATTAAGTAATTTTCCTATTTGAATGCTGCCATCCAACTAGTCAGATAGAAAGCAGGTCCTGCTATGAGCAGAAGGTTGAAGTTAATTTGACCAAAAGAAGTTAACCTCCTCCTGCTTGAGAGAATGGTTCCTAAAAAGTTTCATTGGTTATACTCAAACTGTGTCAAGATGTATAAAGAAAGAACAAACTAGCAAACTTTCTTTTTATGTATTAGATTATATTTCTGAATATCATCTGACCAAATAATAGCTTTCAAATTAATAGCATTAGCATATAATTTATATAAAAAGAATAAAAATCAAATTGTTTAAGCATATAACTAATGATACTTTTAAAACTTATAAAACAACATTGGAAATTGATGATTGAAAGCCCATCCTCCTGTTTTACAATAATCAAGCAAAGAGCTGCTTGTCATATTTTCTTAAATATGAAATTATTGAGGAAAAAAAATATTCTGTATAATATCAGATAAGAATAGTGCAGTATATTTTTAGGTTTATAACTTCATTATAAATATGACTCAAACTGTTTTGCATTGAACAGTTAACAAAACAACTAATTGGACTGCAATTTGAAAAAATAATAGACCTATAAATTCCCAGTGTCATCTGTCTGTCTTTCCTTAATCTGAGAATGGTGTTAGATAAATGAAATTCAAGACCAGATAGGAAAAGCTTAAGGGGCAGAGGCCCTGATTAACTATATATAAACTTCCATGCAATTTGAACTATAGAACTTCCATGTAATATTTCCCCTGAAATGAGTTATACAGATGACTGGTACAACTCCATTGCTAACAGTAAAGTATGATGTACAGGAGCAAGACACTAAAGTATTAATTTGAGGTGGAAAGCATATATTTTAAATTAAATAAACTAAAAACATGATTAAAAAATACAGTCTGGCATTGGTGACAATGTCACAATAAATACTTGCTCATTGTAAAATAGTTTCATTAGACAAATTAAAAAGTTAAAGACTTTAATGTAATAATTATAACATTAAATTATAATGATAAAAAGAATTCATGTAAAACAAATATCAAACTAATTATATATATCTACAAATTTAATCTGTTATACTTTTAAACTGAAATACAGTAAATTAACAATGTGACATCTAAGTAAAGGTTATATTAAATTACAGTGACTTAATTTATACATGGTCTGTACAGGTAATTCCATCTGTGATTCCATGACTTTCCATGACCAATTATGACATTATTCTCTGACTTATTAACATCTCTGCATTTTCCTTTTCCATTACATAATATTTGGCCAAGTCTATTTAAGCCCATTTTGTATATAATTATATAATTTTTTTTATTAAAACATCCTTTATTCACTACAAAAAACAAAAATTTGGTGTAAAATCAATTATGAAATTAGCCACATTATTTCTATGTCATATAAAAAAATTCACAATTTAATTTAAATTAATTTGTAAATTTTATTTAAATAAGAAAAAAGGAAAGCGGGATCATTGTCAATGGTGTTTTTGAAAACCCAACTTTTAACTCCATGGCAATATTTTGGTAGACTTCCAAAAAATGTGGACTTCTGAAATTCTGCAGGCCATCTGAAGATGAAAATTTGCAGTTTGAGAGAAGACATATCACAATTCATCATCAATTCATCAACATTGGCAGGATTATTATCTCCACATACTGTATGTTGCCAGCAGCAAATAATACAATGAATAAAAATACATAAATTGTGTGAGGTCTGCCAAGCGTTCCAAAATGTCCCATACACAATATCATTAAGTTGACTGACAGTTTTTGCCTCCCTCATGACATCAACTGACAGCAATGAGTTAACCAAATGTCAAGCAGGTCAAAAAAATTGGGAGGGTTGTGTATGGAATACAATTGCAATTGTTTAAGGCATGAATCAGTCTGTGTTATTAGGGTAAGGATAAGATGTAAACAAATAAAGTGTTGCTGGTTATCACATTCCAAGTCAATCAATATCTATCAGTTTGGGTGGTGGCACACTCAAAATATTTGCGTCAAAGTTGACACGCTCAGTTTTCTTATGCTTTCTATATAATCTGCATCATTTGGCATTAAATATTTTGGCTTTTCTGATTCCTCTTAAAATTTTCTTTCCAATGATATATGTCTTTTATATTTCTGTTCATATTGTCTTTGCAATTTCTTTGACATTATGACAATTTTATTCAACCCACACATTTATTGGCTTATAACTTTACAAATTTTATTTTATCAGTTATTATTGCTAAATATTATTGTATATTCTGTTGTTCTGTACAAATCAACACAAATTTCAATGTCCTACCTCTTTGCCATCCAAAGTTTCACTGCCCAAATGCTGCACCATTTTCACTGTTCACGCGCAACTGCTACCACTCTCCCACATGGCTTCACACCCCCACTATCCACCATTTAAAATACAAACATAAACCTCCTATCCAACAAAATTTAAATTGTTATATCTTGTAAACTATAAATGATAATCTAAGTGCAATAAATCTTGCAATTTGTTTGGTTGCTCCAGTTCACTCTTCCCTATACCAAACCGAATTTAAAGACCTGTTTGGATCAAAAAGGAGCAAGAGTGACACAGTATTCCACAGTATTTGTGGATTCCCTGACTTTTTCTGCTAAAAATCTTATTCCCTGACTTTCCAGGTCTGTATAGACCCTGTTTATATGAGGATTATTTTCAAGAATATCTTACATAATTTAAATTCATGTATTTATGCTTAAATTGTCAACTAGGGCTTAATTTATTACTAGGACTTATTATACTGGATAACTGGTTCTGCAAGTTAAATAATCAAATCAGAAAAAAGCAAGTCTTTTATTTACTGTTTTTTCTGATTTGATTATTTAACTTGCAGAACCAGTTATCAGGTATCATAAATACTAGTAATAAAAAGTCCTAGTTGACAATTTAAGCATAAATACATAAGTTAAGAACACAAAGGCATAAAAGTTGAATTTAAATTCATGTTTGATGTAAATAATCACCAAAACTGAAATAATATCCTTACTGAAATATTTCATTACAAAATAAGTAAAATTAAACAAAAAATAAAAACAACATTATTCACTTTCAATGGTTGACCAATTGAAAATCTTCAGCTAAACAAAACAAGAAAATAGCAATCACACTGAGGTTTTGTGGTGCTTTCTGTAGATATGATTTAACTCTTTAAGCTCCAAAAACTCTCTCTTTCTATGTACCTAGAGACTAAATTGTTTTTACCCTTCAGGCTACAAGAGGAACTTGTATAGCAAAACTAGTTAAGCAACTTTTCCATTGGTTGATTTCATTTTCAATGGATAAGGCCAATTTTATATTTAAAGAATTAAACTTGTATCAATTAAGAAGTCACTCTATTATGTTCTTAAACAGTCTCAATAAGAGCATAAACAAATGATATAAATTTAAATGTGCTAATTATAATTGGCTAATCTATATATATAAAAATGAATGTATGTCTGTCTGTCTGTCCGTCTGTCTGTCCTTCATGCATTACCACACCGTTTATCCGATTGCCATGAAACTTTGGGAAGTTGTTTAATATACTCCCATGAAGGTTTCTGGCATAGTACGATTGCCATGAAGCTTTGGGAAGTTTTTTAATACACTCGCACGAAGATTTTTGGCATAGTACATTTATCCTATGATAGATGGCGTGCATTTATACGAGCATTCGAGCACTGTGTGTTCGATCGATTTCAAATTGTGAAGACCATTTCCCCCTTTAAAAAATATCTCTATATATGCATTTATTATTTAGGGATATTTGTAATAATTTTTGTTTAATCACTTTATTTAAACTATTTTTTTGCTAATTACGTAATCGCTTGAACTTTGTTAATTAAAACCTTAACTGTATCCCGAACAACAACCGAAGTTGTAGAAGGAAATTCGCCTATTTTACCGATCTAGGGATCCCCCTTTTCCAAATTTTAATTACTATCAACTCAAAATAATTTAAAAAGACAAATTACAATAAAACAGTTTATTATCCAACTATGAGAAATTTCACACATGCCAAGGAAGAGAGGAAGGAGCAATTAAATAATCAAAATTATAAAGGATTAAAAAATATATATACAAATAAGGGGAATATTGCACTTCTAACAATCTCTGCGAGTATGTGGGCTAAATTTAAAGAAACCGTGCTTCTCACATGGACAACTGTATGTGGCCAACTCACGCGTCAGAAAACCGTCCGATTTATTCGTGTACGCACCAGACGGAAAAACAAAAAATATCGCGTATCCATAAAGCACTCCAATAAATAAATAAAATTGAAACGACACTTTGAAATGTTTTCCTGATGAAAATGAATAATAATAATAAGTTTCAATAAAAATGATAAAATGTAAACTTAATTTTATCATAACGAGTTTGCTTGAATTTCGTTTCTTCTGAGATCACAGCAATGCGCGACGGGTAAGCTAGTTAATTATAATTGTCCCCAGTCACTGTGTTGAGTGCCCTGTAAGGTTACATCTAAATTAATTAATCTGAAAAAGATCCAGATAGCATAACTGGCAATGAATATACATGTTAAGCAGGAATTGTGGGTTTGAGTCCATCTTTGGATTGATCTTTACTTTCAGAATTTTATAAATTAATCAATTTAATTCTAATTACTAAATTTAATATAAAATGGTGACTTAATTGTCTACCTTTAAACCAAATTACATAATGTATATATATATATATTATATTTAATTAGCCAGGTTATAATCTGACAATGAATCAGGCATTATACTGTAACTGAGGCATAGTGTCGGCCTTGTAGATTTCGTAGTATTAGTAGTGTAACTTCGTGCATGCATTCACAAGAAACAGTTTGCAAAAGCAATACTCTTTCTTAACAATTGTCTCTGGCACCAAATTTATAATAATTAACAGATATTCACATTTTTATTGAGATACTTTGTTGCTTCTACAATGAAATAGGGATAATTTTGTAGCATACAGTGATGAGGTGGCTGTTTATTTTTTTGTTTCATGCAGACTATAGTCAAAATCAATTTCTATTCTTCAAATTTTCTATTCTTATTAATCTTAAAAATTGATAATAGATATTTTAAATACCCTTAAATAAGTGAAAATATGAATATAAATGATTCTTTTTAAAAATGTATTAAAATTAATATTAACTTACCATTAAATGGAAGTTGTTTTTCTGTAGTATAGATCTGAGCAGGATTTTGATGAGGATTCATGCCATATCTTAACGGAAGTTGTGATACTCCTTTGCAATACTGACGACGAAAATAATCAGAGATAGCTGCATCATATTCTGCAGTATGATTAAATGCCTGAAAATCATCATAAAATGAAGACTATTACTATTGTCAAGATTGGTTATTTTTATTTGGAAGCATTATACTCAGCATATCAGACAAACCTTAACTGCAAGATTTTTTCTCACTTCTAATGATGTAGAATGTGCTGATGACTGTTCAAGTTCAGAAGCAACACTAAAATTAAAATCCATTAAATCTTAAAATTTTTATAACATTTTATCAAATACTTCTTAAATGTCATTATATAAAAAAACACAAATTTTTCAGTTTTAAAATACATTTGATTATTATTGTGTTGTTGGAATGTACTGGTACCTATGCCTTAATTTTGATTTCTCACAGCTCTAGGTACCAGTACAACATAAAACAAATGTTTTATTTATGTGATGTTGATGTATGTATCTGTGTTTAATAATTTCCTGATTATGTGACATGTGTTTAATATGGCAGTCTTCTGTAGAGTGAGTGATGTATGTGTTGTTGTGAAGCTCCAATGTTTTGAGATTTTTGTGTAATGTACGATGCCTATACAAGAAAGGACTATTGGTACAATATGTGTCTCATCCATTCACCACAGATGCTTTATTTCAGGGATGAATTCTAAATATTTACCAATTTTTTCAGTGTATATATTTTGTGTGTTATGTATGTTTGATACAGCTATGATGTAAGTGATTTTGTTTTGTTTATCAATGAATGTGATTGTCTGATCTGTTGTGATGGATTATTTTGTCTGTGATTATGGTCATAGTGTTGTATTTTATAAGTTGTTTTCTATGACTGTCTGAGGTATGTATTTGCAGTATAGTTGCTGATGTATAGTAGTTTGTGTTTGTGTGCAAACTTTTGATGCATTGTATTTGCTATTTGGTTATGTTGATGTAAGTAGTTATTTTGTGTTAAAAGCTTGCAACTGGTAATGATATGTTATATGGTATCATTCATGATGTGACATTCTTAAAGTGTCATCTGTAAGTGTTGTTGTCATTTAAAATGTGCTTCCTTAGTTTCTTATATTTATGACCAGGTCTTGTAAAGCAATCATGAACCCTCCATCTCTCCAAAAAGGCATCCTTGAGTCAGCCAACAGTTTGGTGCAGTTATGTCAATGTATACTTAGCCAAGATCATTAGAGTACCTACTGTAGAGCTCCAAGCCCAAGACTGTCTAAGGGTGTCTGTGTCTCTTGTGTATCATGTTAGATCCAGGTCAATGTTGTATAGGTTTAATAATTTACTGTTTTTTGTCTGCAAGAGTTACTGCTTTGTGTGCAAGTTGTCTCTCCAACGCAAGTTTTGTTAATAAAATGGAAGAGAGAAAAAGAAGACACTGTTTACTTCTTCCAAAATACAGGTGTTGATAAATGGAGTCAAAAAAGAAAAAAATAATAACAGAAGGGGGATAGATCCAACTATTACTTCTTGTGGACAAGATAATTATTGGCCTAATTTGCAAAGAAGTGAATAGTGTTAGTAATGTACTGTGCAGTATATAGAAGCATAGATGAAATTTGATGTAACTGGAGAGAGATTGCAAGAGCATTTCAGAGTAAAAAGATTAGTAACGTTCTATATAATTCACTATAACAATTCTGTTTATAATTTCAACTTGATTAAGAGAATAGCATGCTGTACATGATGTGTACACCTTTCTAAACAAGGTTTCAGTTCCTCAATTAAACTAAAACACATTTCCCTCAACATTTGATAGTATCAGATTAATTCCATTAACAAAATGTCTTTGAATGACAGACAAATGATAAATTTTCAATGAACTATGTAATTCATCAATTGAGAAAGCTAAATACTCATTGGCCAGCTTGAATTATCTTGACTTACAACAACCCACTCCATGTCATAATATAACACCTATTCACAAAATTTTCAGTTATGATAAGTTTTGTGAATACCAAATTTTGTCATATCGTAACTTAAGACAAACATTTGTTGTAAGTTGCACTATGATGCTTTCGGGAATCCAGGCCCTATATATTTTGTGAGTATTTCTTGAAATAAATTTACTATATCTGTGAGGCTTCACCCTCCCTCTTTACAAAGAAAAGTCAGCCTTTCTATGTCAATATGTTAGTGTTTTAACTGGTGCATGAGCACTTTTATGGGTGATTACTGTTAAGGCATATCTGCTGTTGAGTATCCAATCTATCATGTAATCTACTGTTTCTGTGTGTTGATGTATATACTGTGCAACTTGTCTGATGTGTTCAAGCATTATTTATGGAATAAGGTGGTTGTGTATAATTGTTCTTTTCTGATCAACAACCCTTTGCTCTGTGAGATGTGGGTATTTTGTCTGAATTTATCTTGTATGTAGGTCATGTAAACTGTCATGTCTGTTTCCAGTTTTGTAATGGTGAAGTAGATATGTATGATTAATTCATTCATTTTTTCATTTGTTGGCATGATTTTTCTGTCTTGATGGTCAGCCACTGACCATCAAGACAGAAAACTGTGTGTGTGTGTGTGTGTGTGTGTGTGTGTGTGTGTGTGTACATGCATGCAAAGTGGCAAATTAAATTTATTTGTGATGCAGCCTTAATTAAGCATTAAGTGTTGCATTCATAACTGATGGCCAAGGGAGACTGTGGCAGATTTTTCAAATGTGAGCCTTTGCCTAATCCAAGTAGACCTTGTTAACTTGGGTGATGTCTGAGTCGGTATCATGCTATGAATGTAAAATTATAATTTTTGTTTTCTTCACAGAAGTGCATATGCTTGTTTACCTAAAGATAGGTGTTTATAAATCAGCTGCCCTTAACATGGGAAATAGATGCTGTATAACAGCCACCCATTCTGGATCAGACACTGTGCTCTTTGTTTTGTTTCTCTTGTTATATATTCCTATGAATATATAACAAGAGAAACAAAGACAATGAATATATAACAAGAGAAACAAAGTTATAGTGAATCAAGTAGGCTCTTGTTATATATTCATAGGAATATATAACAAGAGCCCTACTTGAAGCTTATGCTCTTGCCAGCATTACTATGATTCACTATAACTTTTAAACTCACCTTGACATGGTGATGACTGATGAGAGACTATTACCATCATCATAACATTATAACATTTTAATTTATTTTATTATTTATGAATTTTTACACATTTTCTAAAAATTATGGAAAACTTATAATAATAAAATTGTATTTATTTATTTTTTTGTTTAAAAATTTTGAAATAATACTACCATTTAAAGTTTACAACACACACACACACATTATATGTACAAAATATGCTAAGGCAAAATCTATTTCCAATTCACACTAAAGTACTTATGTTATCAACTTAGACATTTTGCAAGTCTTATTTTATGTAAATAAATTTATTTGCTTCTTTATTTTCCCTATTTATTTATAATTCAACAACAATTTTTATGGCAAATAATTTGCTGGGTAGAAGTAATACTTACAGATTATAATCATTGGGATCACATATTACAGTTACTCTATCATGATTTTTTGCAGCAGCACGTAATAATGTAACTCCACCTATATCATAATATTCATTAATAATACAAATTTTTTTGATGCATTTATTTTATTAAATTAAAATGTCAAAAATAGTTACCAATATCAATTTGCTCAACTGCATCAGCTACTGTTACATTAGGATCAGCTATTGTCTTTTTAAAAGGATACAGATTACAAACAACAACACTGTAAAGAAATTATTTTTTAAAGTTTAATATTGACATTAAAAATATACTGTGTAATGGAAAAATTAGTGTGGAAAATATTATAAATTATTTTTCCAACATTTAACCATATATCTCATACTCTATTGATGATAAAATTAAATTTATTTTTATATTTATNATTAGTCTAGAATCGGTTAATTTTATAGAAGAAAACCTTTCAAACAGCCTTAGTACGTAAACTTCACACCTATCGGGCTGCAATTGGCTCATGTATTTAATCATTCCTACAATGTAAAATTCGATTAACGTGGAACGTATCTAAGCGTTATAGGGGGGTCTACTGTACATTCTCTTTTATTCATTTTAATCTATTTTGTTATTTCAAACATTAATAAATATAAGTAAGTATGAATCTTATAAAACAATAAAGCTTATAAATATCAAAATGCTGAAGTTAACTGCCCCACTTAACAATAATAATAACCCATCAACATAAATAAAGAAAAAACAAACAAAATTACTTATAATCATATGTAAGTTTTTTGCATCTTCATCGAAACATATAAGGAATATGCAGCAAAAGTTCAATTTCAATCTAATCCATAATGGCATTGTATAAGTAGGATTGCTGAGTTACATTTAGTCTATAATTACAAATGTACAAACAAGAGCCATGTCATATAACTCCAGCAGGTATGCACAAATCAATGTCACAAGGTGAAATCAACTCATTAAATTTCTTAAAAATAACAATTCTATTGAAATATTGAATAAGACTGAGGGGAAAAAAAGAAACCCCTGGTATGACTACACCTAGAATGCAAATTCAGCACACAGCAAATGACAAAAGTTATTGAATAAGAAATATGTTTTATTTAATAAATAACAAATCTTGTCCAAAGATGATAGAAAAGTTGAAGTCCAAACAGTAAGACTATAATATATCGAGTTAAAAATTTGCAAAAAATATGGTCCTTAATACAGATCTAGATGATACTTAAATAATGTCTCCATAACAAGCCACATCTAATCACCAAGGCTTTAGTCACTTTATCAATATGATTAGTGAAAGTTAACTTTTGATCAATGTCCCAACTTCCCATTTCCTATGACATTTATTAACTATACATACCATATCAAGGAATCCATCTATACCAAAGGGAAAATAAATTGAGATTTTTATCCAAGTCAGTTGTAATAGGTTTTCCTTTATTTAAATAAATTCATAAATTCCATGTCTTCAATGATTTGGCAAGACAAAACAAGTTGTTTTGAAGTGAAATAAGATTGCTATTAAATAACTTAACATCATTTGGCATAACCAGCCTGAAAACATGCAAAACAAGGATCAATATAAACCACAATAAAGAGACTGCTCAAAACCAAACCCTCGGATATACCACACAGAAATTCAGAGAAGGTAAACTCAGCATCCTCCTTTATTTACTAAAATCATCACTAAACAGCTTTGGCTGCTTTATTTATTTGTTTTCATAAATGTTCAATCTCCAGTATTCCCAAAATGATTTTAAATTCTATTGTAAAACTATTATGCATTTATTTTTATACTGTCAAGCTGAAGATAGTTCAATACAGAGGAAAAAACATTCCTTAGTTAATAAGCATCTATTGGTTACTGGAAGCAGCTTAGTATTTATTTATTTCAATAATGATGCCATTTTTTGTTAACTGAAGTATATGAAATATGCATGATAAAATTCTGAATAATTAAAATTGAAATTATTAATGCACCAAAAATTTTAGTAGTAATACATATTTACCACGTGCTCTAGCATAAGCAATAGCTAAAGGAGTTAATTGTTTATATAAATCATCAACCATACAAACTTTAGCTTGTTCAAGAGTAAGACTATCTCCAACTGCTGCTCCTATAATGATAACAAAAATAAAATGTAAGCTTAATGAATTTTAAAGTAAAATAAAACTTAAAACTTAATCTGGATATTTTTACTTACCAGCTGGACTGACATGTTTGAATGAAGCTGCTGCAGGCAATCCAAGAGAGGTTTTTAATTCTTTTACCAACTGCCAAGAATTTAGTGCATCACAAAGATTTATAAATCCAGGAGATCCATTTACAACTGAAATTATAAAAATAAATTAATGATTACTTAAATCATGGCACTACATTTTTCAATATTTTCTAAATGAATATCTAGCCTAAATATATTGCAAACTGATTTACTTATAAAAAATTAATTTTATTAATAAACATCAAAAATTCAAACTCATTAAATAAATCTTTATAGTGTTACTTTTTAAAAATGGTTTTTAGCTCTTTACACCCTGTGGACATTAAGAGAGTCTTTCTTTTCAGCAAGCTCATTATGGGTTCAGCCAGACCCATAATAGGGACAGGGCCTGACGTATTCAGATGGTCCACTCCAAAAAACTTTCCAGGGATTTTTGGATTCGATTCTGGGTTCCCAGGGCAGTAAGCTGCCACCCAGCCATCCCATAATATTGGTTATAACATCTTATACAATCACATGTTCACATCATAATTAAAATTATACCCTAAGAAAGTGTCAAGAAACTTTAGTTACATTTATAGAACAGCCAACAGCCAAGGTGATAAAGGCCAAAAATACAGCAAAAATAATGTATTGTAATATGCTTAAACTTATCCAATTCTAACATGATGATTTTTCTATATTTAAAAAATGAATCATTTCATCAAATATCAACAGATATAAATTTGTTTCAAAAAGAATTAATATTTATGAAAAATGATTTATTAAAAATATATTTTTCAGCAATTGAAATATGTAATTTCTTTATACAGTAATACCTCGACTTACGCGATTTTCAAATCTGGTCGATTCGTCTTTCGTTTGAGCGCCACACAACTCTTGATTACTCACTTCCCCCACACTATTGTTCAGCTTACATGTTTGGACGTGTCGCATGGAATCGACATATACTGTAACTACAATTTATTTTGTGTTATTTATTTCTGTGTTTGTTATATCTACAGAGACTCGAGAGACTCTACTATGTCATCCAAACAAAGTAGAACTGATTCTTCTGCATCAAACAAGAAAAGAAAAACTTTATCTATGGAATGTAAAGTTAACATTATTAAAGAGTTCGATACAAAAATGAAAATTTGTGAATTGGCAAAGAAGTTTGATCTACTGGAATTGACAATCAGAACAATTATAAAAAGTATAGAAAAAATTCTCGAAGCTGTGAAAAATGCTCAATCTTTAAATTCAAGCATCATTCGTAANATAGCCTTTACATAGCCCAAGAATTTGGCAAATAATTTGGCGTGTTTATCAGACATATTAGCTGTGAATTTTTTTGTTTTCTGCAAATCGAATTCTCACTTCAGGTTGGTTCATTCCATGCTAGAAGAAACAATGAAGATAATTCATGCTCCTTAACAATGTATATTGTATAATTTTCTTTGAATAAACATTATACATAAAATATTTGAGTATTTTTTCAGAATGTGAGACAAGCAGAGTGTCACTGGGACAATCCCTAATGACCACTTACACTGCACAGGCTGGTAAAACTTGGTCTCTGAGTACTTGGATGGCTAGGAGGGCAAAAAGTGAGTGGGGAGTGCATCAGTAGGCTGGCAGGCGTCCTTTCAAAGACAGGAAGCAAGTTGAACAAATAAACAAAGCATTTATTGAATAACGAATCTAAATTACATGAGGCAGACATACAACTACTAAGGTTAAATGTGGTTATTCTATTTCTATTTACATAAAATGGCAACTAATCTAGTGTTGCTGACCTACTAGCGAGAGAGAGCGCTTATACAAGTTCTAAAGTCACTAAATACCTCTCAGAATAATGGAGAGTTGGCAAACGTCATCTGTATGGAAGAGGTGGAGGCTTCGGTGTCTTCTCTGATGGGATCACAATCCTTGGCATGGAGATCGAGGAGCACAAGTACCAAAAAAAAAAAAAAAAAAAAACTTCCATGTGTGGATGTGCCCTGAGTTCTGGAAGCGCGTGCTTTTATTCGTTTTTCGTGGGAAAAGACTCACATGATCGCCACATGTTGACATTAATGGTGCATTCTTGACACCTATGTGTCAATTTTTCCAGCTAATTGTGATAACAAACAGTGACCTCCGATATAATGCTCACCAGGAGTGTGTTTTCAATCGAAGTTGTTTACAATTCTTTTTTCCGACAACTGCGTTAAATTCATGGATTTTACAAGAATGGAATTCATTATTGTACAGTCGACCCCCCCTATAATGCGGTAGATACGTTCCACATTATACTAATTTTGCGTTGTAGGAATCCTTAAATACATGAGCCAATCACAGCCTGGCACGTGTGCAGTCTATGGACTATGGTTGTTTGTAAGGTTTCCTTCCATAAAATTAATCAATTCTAGACTAATTTGACTCAACATTTCCAAAACACGTATAATTTTTTGGGAATAATCCGTATAAACTATGCTATAAACCAGGGCTTCTTAAACTATGGGTCGCAACCCCATTTGGGGTCGCTTAGCAAAATCTTGGGGTTGCGAAATTTTAATGCAAAATATTGAAAATAATTTGTGAGAGTTTGAAAATGGCATGCTTTGTGTCATAGGTTTCGTGAGTTGCGCTTTGTGTCACTTCTGGTGCAGCGAGACAATGATTCAGCAACACTGTAGTGTGAACTATAGTAGTGTTGTTGCTTTTCAGTGTATTCAGTTGTCTCTGTTCCATTGTAACACAAGAGTGAACTGTGGTAGTACACCATTATTGTTTTTGCAAATTTGTATATATCTTTATTTTATATTTTTTTGGGTTGCGAAAAAAATCACAGTCATAAATGGGGTCATGAATAAAAAAGTTTAAGAAGCCCTGCTATAAACAAAAAATTATAGTATTATTTACCGAGTGTGCACCGTTCGACGACGCCATTGCTTAAGCTTGTTTTTGTCGCGGAGCAGTGCACCAAATGGCGGGCGTGTTTTCTAATAAGTTATTTTACTGCGAAAAATTTGTTGAACTTTGCAGACATCATTAATAGAAATAATTTTTATGGCTGTTAAATAAGAAATGTTTTTTCACAAGAAATGTATAAAATTACAATACTGTATTAGACTTACAGTACCTAATTTAGGCCTATATACTGTACAGAAGATAGTAAACTCAGCTTACCCGCCTAAACTCTCAGTAGCATGCAAGTAGTTTGGCTGCTCGTACCATTGGTCCAGATTCGACCAATCCTGTCGCGACATGAGTCGGTGATGATGTTTTACTGCATTTTACAAGTCTCTTTTAGCGTCTTTATATGAATATGGCCGCAATTTTTTCACCACGATATACGAATCCGCATTATATGAACCCGCGTTATAGGGGTCTACTGTATTTTACATTAATTTATATGGGAAAAATTGTTTCATTTAACAAGTGTTTCGCATTACAAATACGATTCTGGAACAAATTATGCTCATTAAGCGAGGTTCCACTGTAAATGTTTTTAAAAACAGCTATAATGTAACTATATTATCTAAATGTACCTAGCATATAAATAAATTTAAAAGTTATGTAATAAATAGCTAATACATTTAATCAATTGATTAAATTATTTGTGTCAGAAATAAAATCAATGTACCTCACAAATTCGTATCCTTGACGATCCATATCTGCTTTATCTGAAGGTGTTTTACGAGAAAGAATTCCTGAATTTTAAATTAATAATAATAAATGGTTGTTATTTTATTTTTTTTAGTTTTTAGAGATTGTATATTTTTTACTACTAAACAAGATTAAAAATACTTATTACAGAATTTTTTTTAATTTAAATATTTATTAATATACATGAAGAGAAAATATTCCTTATCACATTTATATTACAAAGGAGATATAAATAAATTTTTAGCTGCAGAGAAAAATAAGCTTCATTGTTTCCTGCAATCTAATATTTTTTTCACTTCTTTTAAATTAATTAAATTCTCAACATCATAATTATAATGCAATTTATGTACTGAAACAATGTACTGAAAGAAATGTACTGAATGTACAAATTATACAAAATGTACATTATACAGAATGTACAAAATGTACAAAAATGTACTGAATCAATATTTTGTACAAAAATGTACAATCAAATCAATATTAAAAATGTACTGAAAGAAAAAATGCTATTGCATTTTTTCTTTCAGTACATTTTTAATATTGATTTGATTGACATACATTCTTTTGTTTAGTTTTTTTATTGGGCTGCAATTTGAAAAAAACTGTAGACCTATACTGAAAGTTGAGACCAGATACGGAAAGCTTAGGGTCAGAAGAAACTGATTAACTATGTACAAACTTCCAATTTGAAATCAAAGTCATGTTATTTCAATTCAAAAATTTTCCTCTGAAAGGTGTCAGATAGAGGACTGGCACAACTCTATTGTTAAAGGAAAAGTATGATGTACTGTACAGGGGCAAGCCACTACTAATTTCAGATGGGAAGCATATATTTTAAATTAAATTAATTAAAAACATGAGTAAAAATTGCAGCCAGGCATTGTGACAATGTCACAATAAATAATTACTTGTTCAATATAGTATCTCTTCAAATTTTAAATAATTATAATCTACCACCTCTTCATATAAAATGTGATTTAAAATCTAATTTATTATTAAAGTCAAAATTCAATCTTGTCATTTTTAACTTGTCATTTGAATGATTTTTGCATTCATCTAATCCAATTCTAAATATAACCACTGTAAAATATGTTTTGTAATTAAAAATTAATAAACATTGATATTCCATTTACTAATGTTAAGGCTTTATGTCATTTTTTAGATATAACTGAGGCAACCCACATTCTGCTCTATTTTCAAAATTATCCTGCTGTATTATGCTTTATGACAGAAATATTCTGCTTTATCTGCCTAATTTAATTTATTTTTTTTAAGTTATATTTGCATTCAGCACACAAATTTTCTTCATTTTTATTGGTTTACCTGATTCTCAATAGTACTTTTACTGTATATTTTTGTCTGAATCTAATAGATCAGCCAAGTTGAACATGAGGCAAATATGAATGCCCAAATTTTCCTTGATAAATGATGATCTCTTCAGCATGAGAAAATGGTTCAGGGTAGAAAAATTCCTCTCCATATTTGCACTTCTAGCAGGAACTGATAGAGCTTTTAATTACAGCTGACTTAAAATTGGCATTTCCCTGAGCACTTCCAGAAATTTATTATATCATTACACATTGTTCTGTTTTCATTGTTGATCAAAACATTGCAGTATGCTATCTCTTTCTTTGATACCTCTTTCTGGGAGAATCTGCATAATTGAGAAGGTAAACTGTTCATTACTTGGTTATGATTTGGATCTAGGACTTCAAGCTCTTTCCAAAACTGCCATGCTGAATGTTTGCCATCTAAATAAAGTTGGAGCTTTGAACCCATACTGAGTAGTACCAACAATTCCCAAATACCTCCAAGAATTCACCAAATATCACTTCCTATAACACTGGATTGGATTCAGGCTGTGACTCCCGTTTCTTGATCAAGTTGCATAAGGCTTCAGCTTGGCTTGCAACTGTATGTAGCTGTTCTTCAAGTTGGGATTGATCAAGTAACTTCCAAGTTCTTGCAATGCAACTCCTTTCATAGTCTGATTTTCTCTAATCCATGTCACTATAACATCCCACCTCTTATGGTAGTACCAGGGCTGTGGAGTCGGAGTCGTGGAGTTTTGGTGTTTTAGCCAGAGTCGGAGTCGTCAAAAAATCCGCCGACTCCGACTCCTTTTTACTTACCAACTTGTTATGTATATAAAATGGAAAAGTATTGGAATTGTGTCAAATTTGATCCTCTAAGTTTTTTTTTTGAAAATCTATACATTTGGAGACCTCCTGAACCCCTCAAAAAAGTCAGTAAAGGGGAAAAATTCGCGCATGCGTGTGTTGGCATCTATTTTGTTTAATTTCTTTATTTTCTGTTCTGGGATATTAAACAATATCACAGAATGGGTAAAGTTTAAGAAACTAAATGTGGCACTGTAGCTTGCGTATAAAGGGGCATTAATACTATTAAATTTTGATTCTTAATTAAAGGTTGACAGGGTGAAGACCTAAAAGTGGTCATGTGTCACATATAGAAAAAAATCTCGAATCTTTTGCACATCTCGAAATTTCAAGGTGTCCTGAGTCCAAAAATGTAAAAATTTGAGAGGGGTCATTTTTTGAGCGAGTGCTACACTTTTCCACTGTTATATATAACAGCCGAAAAAGTAAAAATTATTGAATACATATTTATACAGTAGACCCCCCTATAACGTGGGTTCCTATAACGAAAATTCCTATAACGTAGCGAAAAAATTGCAACAGTATTCGTATAAAGGGACTCCTAAAATGTCGTCGCTGACTTGTGTCGCGACAAGATTGGTCAAATCTGGACCAATAGTGGATGAGCAGCCAAACTACTTTCCGCCATCCAGCGCCATGCTATGGAGAGTTTAGGCAGGTAAATTGAGTTTGCTATCGTCTGTACAGTATTATATATAAATTAGGTACTGTACATATAATTATATATTAATTATATATAAATTAGGTACTGTATATATAATTATATATTAACTTAATTTATTGTAACTTTATTATNTTTTTTTCTAAATTATTGTTTTCTTTAGTCTCTGGCCCCAATTAAAAATTATTTGTATGTATTTATATGCAAAATTATACCCCGACTTACGCGAATTCAACTTACGTGGTTATCGCTCAGTCTCACCTATCACGTAAGTTTGGGGTATTACTGTATTGTACTAGCAGATATGCCCAGGCAAAAAGTAAGAACAAGCATTAAAATAAGAATGAGATACTTGGATGGTATGGAATTGTACAATTTCATTGGTTGGGTAGACAGGAATTGTTTTTCAATAGAAAATAGTCATTGACTTCCACCTGCATGAGAAGATAATTCAAGAGATGCAAATTTTTTCTAATGTTAATTCTAACATACCATTCACAGCCAAATAAAAAATGGTAATTGGCCAACCAATGAAATTTTGCAAAAAAACAGACCAAATATTTAAACTTTATATCCTCGAAAACCTCTAAAAATGTATAATGTGCTTGCCAGTAACTTTGTATTAAGTAATTTTCCTATTTGAATGCTGCCATCCAACTAGTCAGATAGAAAGCAGGTCCTGCTATGAGCAGAAGGTTGAAGTTAATTTGACCAAAAGAAGTTAACCTCCTCCTGCTTGAGAGAATGGTTCCTAAAAAGTTTCATTGGTTATACTCAAACTGTGTCAAGATGTATAAAGAAAGAACAAACTAGCAAACTTTCTTTTTATGTATTAGATTATATTTCTGAATATCATCTGACCAAATAATAGCTTTCAAATTAATAGCATTAGCATATAATTTATATAAAAAGAATAAAAATCAAATTGTTTAAGCATATAACTAATGATACTTTTAAAACTTATAAAACAACATTGGAAATTGATGATTGAAAGCCCATCCTCCTGTTTTACAATAATCAAGCAAAGAGCTGCTTGTCATATTTTCTTAAATATGAAATTATTGAGGAAAAAAAATATTCTGTATAATATCAGATAAGAATAGTGCAGTATATTTTTAGGTTTATAACTTCATTATAAATATGACTCAAACTGTTTTGCATTGAACAGTTAACAAAACAACTAATTGGACTGCAATTTGAAAAAATAATAGACCTATAAATTCCCAGTGTCATCTGTCTGTCTTTCCTTAATCTGAGAATGGTGTTAGATAAATGAAATTCAAGACCAGATAGGAAAAGCTTAAGGGGCAGAGGCCCTGATTAACTATATATAAACTTCCATGCAATTTGAACTATAGAACTTCCATGTAATATTTCCCCTGAAATGAGTTATACAGATGACTGGTACAACTCCATTGCTAACAGTAAAGTATGATGTACAGGAGCAAGACACTAAAGTATTAATTTGAGGTGGAAAGCATATATTTTAAATTAAATAAACTAAAAACATGATTAAAAAATACAGTCTGGCATTGGTGACAATGTCACAATAAATACTTGCTCATTGTAAAATAGTTTCATTAGACAAATTAAAAAGTTAAAGACTTTAATGTAATAATTATAACATTAAATTATAATGATAAAAAGAATTCATGTAAAACAAATATCAAACTAATTATATATATCTACAAATTTAATCTGTTATACTTTTAAACTGAAATACAGTAAATTAACAATGTGACATCTAAGTAAAGGTTATATTAAATTACAGTGACTTAATTTATACATGGTCTGTACAGGTAATTCCATCTGTGATTCCATGACTTTCCATGACCAATTATGACATTATTCTCTGACTTATTAACATCTCTGCATTTTCCTTTTCCATTACATAATATTTGGCCAAGTCTATTTAAGCCCATTTTGTATATAATTATATAATTTTTTTTATTAAAACATCCTTTATTCACTACAAAAAACAAAAATTTGGTGTAAAATCAATTATGAAATTAGCCACATTATTTCTATGTCATATAAAAAAATTCACAATTTAATTTAAATTAATTTGTAAATTTTATTTAAATAAGAAAAAAGGAAAGCGGGATCATTGTCAATGGTGTTTTTGAAAACCCAACTTTTAACTCCATGGCAATATTTTGGTAGACTTCCAAAAAATGTGGACTTCTGAAATTCTGCAGGCCAT